AAGGCACCGAATGCTGCTCTTTAAGTGGGGTCCATGGACTGCCGCAGCAGAGCATACGAAGCGAGATAAACTTAGTATAGTAGGAAGTAGAATAGTAGACAGAAGTATCGTTACTACCACAACAATAGCAAAAAGAAAGGGAGAACAACAACAACAACGACAAGAAACAATCGAACATCAGAATTTACTGTAACAACTTCACTGGGTCTACCATCAATTTCGCGAACCTCTCGTGCGAGCCAAGAGTCTTGAGCAGCAGTCTACCTCAAGTTAACGGTCGAGAATTGGGCTCAAAATGGGCTCACCGTAGTCAGTAGATCGTCTCATCAATGCAACTCGAAGAGCGTAAAAAGCTCAAGACTTCAATACTACTGCTACTACTATCAGCAGACCCACAATGAGGTTATACAGAATTACCACAATCGCCGTTCAAGAAACTTCGCAAGCGAATAAGTTGAAGAGCCGAGCGGCAGTATTGGTACTTGACGAACGCACACTACATACCATCAAAAGTCTCCACTTTGATGGACGCCTCCGGCTCAACAATCTGCTCACTACCCAAAGCACGAGCCAACAATGCATCAGTAGAATTACGGAAAACTACAAACCCAGTCTTGGGAGGTACTCCGCGACGAGCAGTGCATCTCGCCTTGAGAGGCAGCATCAGAACATGCTCGACAGCACCATCATGACCAAGAATCGTGTCGAAGTAAGCCTTCAGCTTGAGACTGCAACGAGCCCCTAACTTATGGCAGCGCTTAACCATCAACACACGAGCTTGGCATTCGGCCTCATCTTGGGGAAGTAACATTTTAACATCACCCAAAGCCATCACACCACAAATACTCGGAGTTCCATCAGCCAACTCTGAGATCTCGTCAATCTGCATCAAGTCTTTAGATCCAGGAATAGAAACTAGATCGTTGGAACCAGGCAACATAGGGTTAGAGAAACTCGTGACAGTAATACGAGAACCCAAGCGACCAGGCATACACAGACATTCAGCCTCTTCCTCACTTCGCATGATAGCAACACAGATCGCACAGCGAATATCGTTCAACCCTGTCGAGGCAGGACTGATAACAAGAAGAATACGGCTAGCATTGCTGAGCTGATCGATGATCCAATTAGCAGAGGGTGGTGTTGATATAAGCCTCGCATGAATAGCAAGCATCAACCGTCTCTGCTCCGGGGAATCCAACAGGGCACGAACCGCATCTGTGAGAGATTCTTCGTCAGCGAAGAAGGACAGTTCAGGCGAGAAGTCACCCACGGGCAGAGAGAGCGACGGCGACTTAGCAACACTCTCATCAACAGTGCTGATACTGCTGATACTGTCCTCCAGGTCTTGCAAGGAACTCTTGAGGTATTCAGAGGCCGCCAAGAGTTCACTATTTTTCGGGGTCTCGCAATGACAGGAGTCGTCGTCGAATGAAGGGATACCGGAACTTGTAGTAGTAGCAGTAACACCGTCGTTATTGGGAGTCTTAGAAAACACCAACATAGGGGGAGTGGAGCCTGAATTGAGAGACCCTTTAACATCAGAAGATATAGCCGAAACGGCAGCAGAGTCTAGTGCTCCAATAGTAGGAGAATTAGAGAGGAATTCCATTACGGATGAAGAGAAAGAATAACAACTACACTAACTGACTTGAACATTATCATAACATACCTCTACATGGCTCTATCCTACGTCGCGCTAGTAACACAGTCTATAATGCTAGCAACGGTGGAAGCACGCAATAAAGCCTTGCATTCTCGGACATTGGGCATTGTCGGACACCCCAGAAATAGCACGATCAACCTCTATGAATTCCTACGTATCTTCACTTCTACCCAACTGCCACCCTACACACGTGTAATCGTTCGATAAAGCCACTTCCCTATGCCCAGGAGCACACGAGCCTGATACAACTACGCGCTAAGGGTGAAGGAGACAGCAATGTGCACGCGTGCACAAGCGAGCTAGTAGCTCGGAGCTACTATTCGACTCTCTGAGTTCTCTCATTCTGTAAACAACACCCTTCGCTTCTCAAGATGGACAATTCGCACAATTCAGCCACAGCTCTACGACACCACCCTCCTCCCAATAACACAAACTCTGTCCCCTTTCGATAAACAACCCAGGTGACATGCAGTGCTCGAGGCACTCACACTGAAGACTCCCGCAGTTATATTACTAAGCTCCGCAACATCTCCCACACCTATCGTCAAACGCTCCTTATCACTGCTGGCAAGGTCCTCGACACCCATCATCGCAGTCACACCCACAAGGCATTGAAGAACACACTTTGAGTCGCGCTGCATTCACTCTTGTCTAACAGCACTTCCAACGATCTCAGTGTAGAGACCTAGAAGGCCTACCAATGGATCTACCTAGAGGAGCCCTCCCTAATGATGGACGAGAAGCCGCCACAAGTCAACACAGCTGGTAGGCTTGCCCTCCGATGTATGTCATGGCTAGCAGACCAGAGTTGAGACTGGTCACCATGGGACAAATGCACGACACTGGTCCAGATGGAGGGAGAGCTTGGCCGGAATCGGCAATGGACAACCTCGGTTACATCAAGGAAATCCAAGAAGATCCGCTTACCAGGGGTCGAACTCGAGACCAATGACCGCGGACAAGTCCCTGAACGATCATCACGAGTGGAGCAATGACCAGACCCACACTGAGGGTGTGACACTGTCAACACTACTACGAACTCCTACTCACCGGTCTTCCTCCCAACTGATCAAGCAATGACCACACCCCCTAATGGTACGGCATGGCGAGCACCCCTAATACCAGGGTTGTTCGCTCGAGTCGTTCCTCACTAATGACTGGACGGTGAAGGCCTCAGCCCACCAAACGACATATTCCTTACAACACAGCGTGAGACTAACAAACTGATACCAGCACATGCATCAATACTAGGCATTATCAGCCATATGTGGTAAACCAATCAAGTCAGGTCCCACCGAGGGTTCAGCGATCAGTCTTGATAGATTCTTAGTCATGCCTCGTTGAGTCAACGGGTGAGACCTTTTACAAGTACATCATCACATCGCTACTTCACCGATCATTGTGCCCACTTAACTCCACACTGACACCTTGCAAACGAAAATCAGATACTAGAAAAGTTTCATCAATGAGCCTTCGGGCCCTAGTTCCTTTCTGAATAACCTGAACAAGACCACTCTACACATAGAGAACGATACACTCATAGACACCAATTCCAAGAGTAAAGTGCCCAAGTGCCTACATGCTCTGGCTCACTCCGAGCGCTTGTGACGTCTTCGGGCCTTCTCAGCATCACTTGGTTTCACGTCGGTCATTTCTGACATGAATACCGGTGAGCTCAGGGATCACTACCTACTATCTTATTCATGAGAATATGTATAAATATATTCCTTGTTGTTCACCTTCTGCTTAAAACTCTCAAGAGCTAGCAGGAACTTTACGCAACAACAACAACAACAACAACTATCACGACCACTACTACTATCACGGTAATCACTGTCATTCCGACAACTACTACCAATTCCCGAGTCCTCTTTATGAAGTGTTGGAAGATCTGCTGTATGGTGCAACGCTGATGGTTGTATAACGTCTATCACCTGAGGCCGAGCATCCCAACCACAACGACCATATTCACTACTTTATGGTAGACTGGTCTGAGGCCAGCAGAGCAGTCACTGGCAAAGCTGCGAGCCACTGCCACTAGGTGCTGCTTATCGGGATTTTCTCGGACCTTCTCTGCGTACTACATGGAGAACCACGAGGGGTGAACAACTCCGAATTTGAAAGAAGTGTGGTATAAAATATCACTCTAATCACTACACTAAATAGCTCTCTACTACCCCCAGGCCAAGATTGATCGATGCCTTGACCATTTCCAACAGCGCCGAAGCAGCCGCAACCTGGCCACGGTCTCGGTACCTGAGGAAAGGAACCTTCTCATCGTATTAAGCTGTACCATAGCCTCTTACAATAGGAAGACATTCACTCCGATGACGACGATAATCGTGAAGTAGATCGAGAAAAGAACATTGGAGAATCTCACGCACGTATCAGAGTACCTATCAACACACCACATACGGCCAACCCGAGAAACACGGCTCACCAATCACAGGCAAAGTCAGAGAACTTGTCCATCAGATAGAGTACAATAACCAATACCGTCACACCAGCGAATGCTGCAAGGGACTTCTCCATACGATGCTGATTCTCCTCCTTATAATAGTCGAGAAGACCCTGAATGAAATCCGACAATGGACGTTATCAAGCAAACAGATGAGCCTTTGTACGTCGATTTCCTTAACGAGTTCATCTTTCGTCTTCTCCCTCTCCTCCTACCATCAATTCATCATCAAAGCTCATACCACACCATCCCTACATCAGGTCCAAACAGTGTCTGCTTAGAAAAGCTCTGCAATGCCATGGTCCTCGCTCTCATGGCCGCACGCTCGAGCTGATCTGGTTTGATACCACTGCCAGTCTTCGGACTGAGGGAGCAATTCCTTCCAATCAACAAAATCTCCGACAAACGTTCAAATGACATCTTCCAGCCCGACTCGAGGCCAGAATTGAAGCGCTCATTCCCCCTATACATTGGGTTGTAACTACTTCGAATTCATAGACGTGTGAATTACGACCATCTGTGGCTTTGCACTGCACTTAGAGACTCGATACACGAGTCTCTCAGTACTCTCATGAAAGCCACGCTTTAATACCCTCCTCACGAACAGAGAAATGCAACAGGAAATGATGCTACTTCCCACCCTATACATATCTTAGGAAGGCAACAGCAGTGTTGAAATATATGGTCGCTTCCCTTACCTCAGACCAAGAGCTTCCTCACCAATCATACAGGTACACACACGGATTCAGGTAACAATATGCAGAGACCAGTGAGAATTCCCCCAAGTTTCCTCGGAATTTTCTTTTCATCACCAACGCATGTAGTTGACCTTGTGCATATTTCCCTATACTATGCAATAGGGTGCCTCAATTGCCTTCTGTTACCCAATAGCTGCCTCCATATCCGACTTATAGGTGTTGATAGCCTGCTCCTTACCCAAGAGGTTGCTACTCCTGGCCATAGCCTGGGTGAAGGTAGCAGCAGCCGGTACAGCATTAGCAAATGCCTAAGGCAAAATGACCGCTGCGCCACGAAATTGGGCCATTCACGACTCTACCTCAACGAAGGCCTTGACAACAGGGCCGAAGGTTTGAGGGGAGAGAGGCTTGCCGAGGATGGTTTTAGCGTGGAGATGGGGATCAGTGAAAACCGATCGAACATAGAGGTCAAGGAACCTAAACAACACGCTCATCCAGGAGGTCCCGGGTTCGAATCTCAGCACCGACCTTATGAAATCATGATCGATGTCGGCAAGTCTTCCCGACCACCCCTTCTTCTGGATCCTCAAGCCAGGATGCGGTAGACAGAAGCACGAAACACTCTCGAACATTTTGTTCAGCGCCACTGCTGTGGAGTCGTCACGAACTCTATGCTCATCTGACACAGACAAATACACAGAGATTACTCACCAATGTAGTGAATAAAAATATCGAAAATCATGCAAACAATAGAAGGATAAGACAAAGCACTTATATCCCCTTCTTGAGCCCCACCATGAACGTTAATGATCAAGAACTATATATAGAAACTATTCTGTGTATCAATATAGTATGCTGTTCTTTGTCCGACTTCAGTCCATTATACTAATGGCCATAGCCACCCCAATAACACCACGACACAAAACACAGAGAGTAATGCCGATCGACTCACCCATATGTTGATTTAGATGCTCCTTCATCTGGGCTAGGCAGTCCTTAACAGACATATCATCATCAAAGTTAGCCCAGTCTCGGACCAGGAACCTTAACAGAATTATCATACCCTCCAATAATTCATGAACAGTGTTCATGAGTTGTTCATGTGTTCATTGAACATCCGTATATTATAAACATAGTATTTTCTAGTGCTACACTATACTATGAGTATAGTGATACTTTACGCTAGGCAGGTCCTCATCCCTACGCCCTTCTACTACTCTAAGCATTGGAAAGGCTTCCCTCGCTGAGCCCCTTCATCGCCCGATACACGCAATGCAGCCGATGCCACTTCCATAAAAAAATGAAGATTTTCCACCTGACCTCCACCACATACCACGCCTCCCTCTCTTCCTCCTCTTATCAAGACTAACCTTATCCTCCTGAATTTGCTTGGATGTGTTGTAGATCTGCTTACTGGACAGCACAGCTGTGAGACCAAACACAGTAGCCGACTGCTCCTTCGTCATCTTAGAGTCCCAAGCGCCCTGAGAAAATGCCATCACTGACCTCAGTTTCAGAGCAGACAATCTCACTTGTGTGTCCATCAGCACCAATGCTACTTTCTCTCCAGAATTGAGTTGTCTCACGAAAGGTACAGACCACACCCAGATACCCTCGGTACACCTATCATACCACTCCATCGTCACATCGTGGCCGATCAGAATAGGATGCTACTTGTCCATTCCAGGTCTCCAATGGAAGCCATGGGAGTCTGTTGCCTGCTGTCCTTCTTGCAGAGAGTCACCCTAAGAGAACCAAAAATCATACCTTCAAGGCTCACTCGAGAAACTCTATGCTAACCTGAGCAACGAGCCATCCTGGCGCCTTGAATTTATCGTCCAAACTGCTGCTCCTCCTTGCATTAAGCGCAGCACTATGACCTGACCGACCCAGCATCGATACAAGCTATGCCACGACAAGCTCACCCAAAGGGTAGTCGCTGTCCTCCTTATCATCAGTGTAGCGAAGGTATCTACAATAATACAAGTTCGTGATAGCAGCAACCATAGAATTTACCGTAAGAACAAATCCAGCATAAAACTCTTCCCTGTGCGATATGCTCCCATGATAGATACCACGGATATCTTATCACAGCCAGTCGCCACCAAGTTATTGGTGAGCTCCTCCATTGCCTCATCGTTCACACGGACCTGAGCATATCCGAGATACAATCTAGCCATCAAGCATAAGCTACAAAAAAGGTCAGGAAAAACACCATGTTAGGGTCGGACCTCATTGTCAGCCATTTTGATGGTCACAAGCTGAAGAGGCCTTCCATTCACGACCTCCACTGCCTCCTTGGTGTCGCTGGTGGATGTCATCTATGCAGTACAATATATAGACTACAATAGAAAGGGAGAGGTTTAAAGCCACAACATAAGTCAGCGACGCTCGCTTGGTCAGGTGAGCCAGTAGTGCTCGGAAACAGCGACCACCCACTCAAGTGGATGCTTGCGTATAGTGTAGCCTTACAGATGTGACAACTACCTGCTACTGAGGTGGGATCACAAAACAGTATCATACTTAGACCAGTTTCTTATCAAAAAAAGGAGACTCTCGAGCCAATCCGAGTGAACGGAGGATGAGCTCTATATCTCAACGGCTATAAACGATTGTAGTACAATCTGATTGTGTGGGGAGTAAACACTAGGGTTAGTGATACTTTATCAAGTATCAACAGTCAATGCACTCTGGGAGTAAGTAGAGATGCTAGGGACAGTGGTATGTATGCAGACCAGAATCGTAGGACTTCAACGAATGTACGGGAATTGTCTATAGTACGGCGCAGTAAGTATATTTCCAATCTCACGGAGGTTTCCTGCAACAGAATTCTGAATTATGACTACAGAAAGTGAGTTGAGCCAATCCACGCATCGACTCTGAGCCTCTGTCTCAATAGACAAGCGTACCGTTTTCGCTGAATTTCGTGGCGCGTGACAAAATCCGCACTACGTTCTTCTTTCAGTTTCGCGCTGCTACAGAGCCTACGGTTGTGGCTGTTTCCTGGTTCGTTGGAATGCAGGCTAGCCCCGCATACTGCTATGACTCTCCTGTATCACCAAGCTTGATATCCATTAGTGATAACATTTTTCTGAAGTCTCATCTGAGCACTCAGTGGGGTTATTATAAAAGTAATCTCATCGGGCGTTACTGTTGAACTCTAACCCGCTCACTTGAGCGACACATACTTCCCTTTCATGCTCCCCACATAGGCTCGCTTTCTCATCGTACACTCGATCGGACTAGACTGTGATCTACTATCCGGACTGTGCAACAGCAGTGCTACTGGCTCTTCTGTTCGATCGATAGAGGTTTGATATTTCCTGCCGTTTAATGTAGTGCTACGTAGTAGTTGCCTTGTATTTATGAAATTTACCTATCAATTGGAGTACAATGCCTTCGGGCCTTGGCACGATGGCTACATCCAATACAAGAAGCTCAAGAAGCTCATCAAACAACAGCGACATAATCAAGCCTCCACTGAGGAAGGCCCTACTATTACTCCAGAGGAGGCTTGGAAGGTAACAAGACACTTTACTGTGGTGATATTCAGTTGACTTTAGGCTTTCGAGGCAGCCTTGGACGCTGAAATGGACCGTATATCTGTGTATTTTTATAATGTAATAATGAGGGCGGCAACGGCTTGGTATTGCCACTGCATGCTGGAGCTCTGCATAGCTCTCGATATAGACTTTAAGCTTACCACGCTTTTGGACGAACGTGAATTATGAGTAGCAGTTACTGAGCTATCATTATTAACTATTTATGTGAATTTTATTTTACTATGACGTGCCTTGTGCATTATCCCACGACTGTCACTGCTTCTGGTGGTCATTCTGATGTCGACTCTGCCCTCAGATTTACGCTCGGTTGACAACCTCAGTGAAACAGCATCTAGCTCCAATGGAGGCTCACAAGCACGTGGAGTCCAAGCATCGAAAGGAATGCATTGAGCTCTTTGCGGAGCTTAATGAGCTCAAGAACTTTGTTCAGCTCAACTCCGAGGTAACGAGGGTATCTTAGGTCACTCCGTGGTGGATACGGATGAAGTCCATTAGTGGCTATGCATTTCTAGCAGGTCCTCTGGACGTAGGTATTACTATTATGATTTGCTGTGATTGTCAGGGTGCGCGAAAGATTGTGAAGAAGTTTGATAAGTTCAACGGGACCTCCCATTGCGGCGAGTACATGTCAACGTGCCAGCCATTGGTGAGCATGCAGCACGAGGCACGAACTAACCTTAGTGCTATGATATCCGATGTTGAGAAAAGGTAGTGAGCATAGATTGGTGTCAAACTCGACGACTGGCACGAGATTTGAATATTTTATTATTCTCTCGATTTTTGATCAGCAAATCTAATAAAAATTCTATAGCTATTCTCCCGTGGTTGACCGTCGTCTCTCTCGAGCTCCATTTTGTAGCTGATTCGTCTATGTATACTCATGACTGAATTTAGGCAGTCTAGCAATGGTCGTATGGCTCACTTTGGTGTTATTCCTTCAGTTATGCCGAGTATTACTGTAGTGGAGATGTCTCCTTGGCGTTAGAGGAGCTATCACGTAGTTTATCAGAGCTGCTAGTATGGGATAGAGGCACCATCTGGCATGACCTTATTAAACTCGAAAGGTAATCTCCCATGTTATGACGCACGATAGTGTTATCACAGTATACTTCAGGCAGCGGACGAGGCTTGGTACTGTTGCTACTGGAGGCCGGGCTGTGAAATCAGAGGATATGCCGTTGGTCCGGCAAGTTACCCAAACACAGGCTGCGGCCCCACCATCCGAGCTGCTGGAGGCTGGCCATGCCAAGAGCATCGAGGGTGTTGCTGCTAGCACTCCGACGAAGTTAGTGCCCTTGACGTCGTCCGATTTGGTTAGTTGTTTGCGAGCCAAGTGGGCGAGTATTGTCACCTACACGGTCGTGTTTCTTGTTTTTATACTTTTACTAGCAATAGATATTCCCGGCATGCACGGCGCCGCACGACGGTGTTTGGCAGTGTTGTGGATTACCAGTGCGTTCTGGTGCCTAGGGACTCTCCCATTGCATATCACTGCTCTTGCCGTCCCTATGTTGGTAGTAGTATTTCGTTGTTTGCCCTCGGCTGGTGGAGATCGGCAGAAAGCGGCCTTGATGGCAATCAAGTCTATGTGGTCCGGTTCTCAGCTGATGGTCCTTGCCAGTTTTTCCCTAGCAGCTGCTTTGTCTAAGCTCAGGCTTGACAAGGAGATTGCTTGTATACTGTTGAAGTCGGCTGGGGGCAAGAGCCGGGTTCGAACCCTGCGGATGATGATGTTGGTAGCTTATATAGTGTCAGCGGCTGTAGGCAATGTAGCTGCTAGTGTCCTGTGTATGAGTATAGTAAGCCCGATACTCGATGAGCTGCCACAGAATCTACCCTCGACCTACTCCTATGGTAGGGCTATGTTGCTGTCAATTGCGTTTGCGTGCAACATTGGAGGTATGACTAGTCCGGTGGCCTCTCCACAGAACGTGGTAGCCTTTGCGACGCTTCACACTGACTACGGTCTTTCGTTTGCCCAATGGTGTGGTATTGCTATCCCGACCTCATTCGTACTGCTCGTTGCTGTCTCCTTTGTGACACGACCGAAGTTCCACCATCGACGAGCCAGTAAAGTCCAACAGCCTCTACTGCACGAGACCGCCAATCCTGACTATCTAGCTCTCCCACCTAGGTTAGTAGCCTCAGCGAGCGGAGCGTTGTTCGGTAATTGGCAACGGACTGTGGTTATTGTTATTGTCATTGGATGTATCATTATGTGGCTTTCTTCTAGTCTCACTTGTGCTGTCTTTGGTGACACGTCGCTATCTGCATTGCTACCATTGGTATTGCTATTTTCTATTCCTGGCTTGCTCACCAAAGCTGACTTCCTATCCCTTCCCTGGGATGTGTGCTTCCTTTTGGCAGGAGGCTCGTGTCTGGCATTGGCCGTGAGAGACTCAAAGCTGTTGGAGATTGCATCAAGCGGAGCATCTCAGATTCTTCACGGTGCGCCTCTGTGGGTATGCATCGTCGGTACTGTTACCTTCGTCACACTATGTTCAACGGCTGTCTCCCATATTGCAGCTGCTAATGTGCTCATGCCCTTCATCGTAGCCCTAGGGGATGAGGTTGTCCCTAAGGGCATCAGAGGAGGAGTTACCCTGATAGCGATGCCAGCTGCCTTGGCCCTCTCCGCTGGTTCAGCCTTACCGGTGAGCTCAGCGCCCAACGTCAATGCTACTGCTATCAAGCGACAAGGAGATGATAACAGACCGTGGCTCCAACCGAAAGACTTCATCATTCCAGGAGCTGTGACTTCTGTGGTGGCGGTATTTGTTATCTCCGGACTGGGAGCAGTTATGAGTGAGGCAGTGGCCTGAAGTTTCCTCTAGCTGTTTGACATATTTGTGCGACTACTTGTGTCGTATGTACGTTTCCTCCGCCCTTTTCGATTCTTCGTATTGTTCCACTGTGTTGAGCTCAACGGTATGCGTCATTTGGGGGTACAGCTGAACAACAGTATGTCCACTGAAGATCACTCTGGAGCGGTCGAGAAGGCTGAGGGTTTCAAAAACGAGGGCAATGTCATGTACCATGATAGGAAGTTCAGAAAGGTAGTTGGGGTGGTATCATGATTATCATCATTGATAATGGCATCAGTTGTGAGTATAGCTTTGGATAGAGGACGGGCCAGGATTGATTCATGTCCGACTGCCGATGGCCCGAACCTTAGTGGGCATTCCTGTGTGTCTAAGCTAGTGAGGACCGCGGTATAGAACGTTGGGATGATGGAGTTACTATTAGATATTGCTTGAACCGACATCTTTGATCAGGCCATCGAGATGTACACTAAGGCTATCGAGCTGGACCCTAGTGTAGCTGCCTATTACTCCAACAGGGCTTTGGCCAATGCTGCATTGGAACGGTGGCAAGATGTAGGAGGAGCACGGGGGTGTTGGTTGCTTTGGTGCTGGTCGGCTTGCATGTGAACTCGTTCGCCTTTTCATCACCGGATGACTATGCTTATGGGCTAGCCTGCTGGAGAGGGGAATAGGTGTTGACAATGGTGTGGTAGTGTTGAAACGCGTAGGTATTTGATGATGCACAGCACGTGCTTAGCAAACTGGATAAGAATCATCAGAAGGCAGTATATTGGGTAGTCAAGGCCAGTAAGGAGATGGGCAAGCCTAAGGAGGAGGTACTTGCAACAACTGTTGCTGTTGCCCAATCGTTGCACTGTAGTTGCTCGCGCTTGTACCGGACAGTGCAGCTGCTATCACTGAGGCCTGGGGGTCGGATGATGATGAACATCCTACGCAGAAACAGCTGGAGTATGCTGAAGAGTAGTAGATGTACTCCGGAGAAAACTGAAGCGACGATTCACTTTAGATGGGGCGTTAGAGTCAGCGAGGCTCTTGTGAAAGGACGGATGGACAAGCTGGAGAAGATGCTCCAAAAGGTCGGTTAATTCGCCTGCTCTCATTGGTCAAGTGGTTGGCTAGATACCCATAGGATCATTCCCGTCCAATGTAAAGACGGGTTATACCGCATTGGCTAAGGTAACACGGGAGGTCCCGGGTTCAAATCCAGGTTCGGGCATTTTTTCTCCTTAGTATTATATGGCCCGAAGGGAATGGAGTAAAGGCCTTGAGTGCTTCCAAGAGCTCCTCCGATACCAACAAAAGCGTCTTCCAGCGAATGACGCGTCGACTTTGGATGAGTTGGCGACCACTTACAACAACATAGGCGTTTGTGAAAAGCACTCTGGGAAGTAGGGCCTTATTGAGGGTCAGCGGCAGCGTTCTAGTTGGTGTCGCTGTAGGTTAGAAGATGCCATCGGAGATCTGCGCAAGTCGCTGGACTGTAGTATTAGAGCTGGCTCGGATGAAAAGGACCAGAATGTGAGGATCGTTAATTTCGTGGCGCAGTGACGAATGTTGTCTCTCAGCTGGCATCTATCTGGAGCAACATGGGGTCCTGTCAACTGTCTCTAGGCAAGACTGATGAGGCTGTGAAGTGCCACAAGAAGGCTGTCGAGATAGCTAGTGCGTTCACCATAGACCTTCTCAAAATACCTCACTGGGCTTTCTTTCAGCATCTAAGGGAGATACCCCGAAATCAGCACCGTTGATGTTAGCGCTCGCCCGTAGCTTGAAGGATGCTGGCAACACCAAGGAGGCCGATGGTCTCTTTGGTAGAGTCGTTGCCATATGGTCTGGCTTCAGTAAAGTAGAGGACCTTGTTAAGGAGAGCCCTGATGTAAGCGTGGAAACCCGCATTATTCTCTCCAATTCATTGCCTATAGTCAGTGGCTTTTCACGTAGGTCCCTGATGAACGTCGTCTAGTTGAGTTATACATTACTACGGTGGCTGAATGGGCAATGCTGCAGCTGTCATCGGATCGTGAGTTGTTATCGACGTGCTTCGCTCCGCCCAAAAACTGGCATTTTCAGGTGATGCCAGTGTTAAGACAGGCGACGCGATCCATATCATGGAGTCGGGTGTAGCGACTTTGAAGAAATGGGGTCGTCAAGCTCAGGCCTGGAGGCTCCTTCTTCCTATGGCTCAGATCAGCGACGACAAGAAGTACCTCGATGAGGTTAGCGCGCGCCCGAGTGATCGATATGTAACTGACTTGCGTATAGGCATCTCAAGTCATCGGAGGACTCCCAGAGGCTGAACACGACCTTGCCAAGCAAGCTGTTACTCATGTAAGTCGATCGCTGTGGGATGGGACCGGGAACATCGTCCTTTATGTATCGCGGGGAGTGGTATAATCCGTTTAGGTCACTGAGCAAATGGCGGCTAAGCCCACTGCTTGAGTTATCGCTGCAGTGAGCGATTACACTGTCTCTTACAATAGTCGACTGGCCAATACACAGTTTCTCTACCACGTTTCGCTCACTTCCTGTTGTGAACTGGGTGCCGTGTTTGATGTTATTAATTGTAAGGGAGAGCAGATGTTTTGTCGATGCCTACCACACCAATCGTAAGTTACGTCGATTCCTTCCTCGCTAAAGGCATCGCCGCAGCCCCCAAACACCGCACCACTCCGGAGAGTTTTGAGCAAGGTAGAACACCGCTCGGTCGTCCAGGTGTAAAGTAGCCACTGCAGGTTACCGGAGCCTTGCAGTCGAGGCCAACCTCCTTAGTGGGCTCTATTGGTTGGTCTCCACCAAGCAGCTAGTGTCAGGGTATGTCCCTTCAAGAGATGATCCTCTTCGGATGGTGGTGGAGAAGCTACTGGGAAAGTGTAGTCGGAGTGGTGGTTTTGCAGCATCCCCGAGCACTGCATCCCCTAATGTTATTGCTACGACGTCGGCCTTGCAGTTGGCGACTATTTTCGCCGTTGATTTATCGCATCAGCGAGAAGAGATAGTTGGGTGGCTACGCGCCCTTGTATCGTCCGAAGATGGTTTAGTGCGTAGTGGTGCTGCTTTCAACGAGGTCGCTGGGGACATACGGTTTGCCTACTGTGTGGTCCTCAGCCTGGATCTGTTGGATTACCGATTATCAGGCGCTGAAAGTGAGAGGGTAGGCCGGTGGATACGTCGGTGTCAGGCAGCCGAGGGTGGCTTTGGTCAGAGGCCAGGCTGTGAGGCTCATGCGGGGCACACCTTCTGTGCAGTGGCAGCTTTGAAGTTACTTGGAATGAACGACGACTATGATGTGGAAGCTTGTGTGAAGTGGCTCAAACGGAGGGTCCTCCTGCCGGACTGTAAGGGTTGCAATGGTCGACCGGGCAAGCCGGCGGACTCCTGCTACGTGTTTTGGGTGATGGGGGCGTTGCATATGTTGGGAGAAGTGCCAACTAGCAGTGACTGGCTCGACACTGATGGTCTTGAGGAGTTCATAAGGTTGTGTTACGATGAGGAAGTGGGAGGTCTGTCGCCCAATCCGGACTGCCCAGCCGATCCGTTCCATACCTTTTTCGGTTTGGCGGGGTTATCGATAGCTCTTGGAGGGGGGAAAGTTACTCTCGGTGGTTGCGAGATCGAGCTCCGCAAGATGTTGGTTGAAAGGGCCTTAGTGGAAGTGGCTGCTAGCAAATGAGGATGATAGCGAAGAATGTCAAGGCAGAGAGCCACACGGTGGGATTGGCCACGAAGGCGGCAAGATTGTTTTGTGTTGAGTCCAGCCTGGTGATGGAGTGCTTTTCATTTTCTTAATGCTACGGTTTGAGTTGAGACTAGTCACTGTAGCCCGGAAAAATGTCCAGCCTGGTCCTCAGTTTTCAGTGTAGTTCTATCTTGACGTCGGGGCTCTCTAACGGCATTGCTAGATCCACCGCTCCTAGGACCGTGGTCCGGCTGGGTCCGCTTTTCTGGGTGTTACTGTTAACTGTTCTGGGTTGTTCGTGGAATGATCCATGAGACAGACTTTGCATTTCTTTCTCGGCTAATATACTCTTACTCTATACTCTTTCCCTTGGTCTCTCATCCAAGCTTAGCTTTGCCTTTTGACGCTGCTTATCGACATCAAGAACTGTGATCGTATCGTCTAACTGTGGCAGTTTAGCTTGGGCAAGGAGGCCCGTCTGTACATGACAGTATCAACTCATGTGTGTCTGAATGGGTAACTGTAGCATCATCCGAGTTGCGTTATTGTGAGTAGTAGGCGAGGACGGTGGCCCATAGCGGTATATGGTGTGGTTGAAACACTAACGGCAATCGAATAGAAAACTGACGAAGAGCGAAGACGAGCCAACGCAAGTAGTGTTGACCCATTTGTCTACTGCCTTCGGTGTTTTTTCTCCTCAATGGGTCCGACAAAACGTCCTCGCCCATTGCTGTCGGTGAAGTCCTGCAGTAGTGGGCCGTCGACATCTCCAATGAAGAGGTTAAAGACTGTCGAAACTCCGTTGAGCAACACCGCGGCTCCCCTCTACAATGAGAATCTTAAAGAGCTCTCGGTGAGCAGCAGTAGCGAGAGCAGTAGTGAGAGCGGTGACAGCGAAGCGGATCTCCAGTTGGGCCTGGACCCTCCAGAAGCCTTGAGCAGGCTTAAAATCGAGAAGTGGTATACAGATCAAATCAGACCAGTCGAAAGTGACCCTGGTTGTGAGGCTCGGTGCGAAGAGGTGAGCTCAGTATTATCAGCAGCGTTATCTGAGACCATCATGAGCAGCTATAAGAAAGTAGGTTGCTGTTCCGAGCTGATGCGCATCACTATGGTTGATATCAGATCCTTCATCGGCAACGACAGGATGAGGAGATCTCCGCTGCAGGCCGCTTGAAGTTGTATACCCATCAAATAAGAGCTATCGAGGCTATAGCGTTGGAAGAGCGGAATGTTTGCATCTCTACAGCGACCAGTAGCGGCAAGTCACTAGCCTTCAATTTGCCTATCTTGAGCTACATTGACAAGCGTAAGTATGGTGGGAACCTACCGATGTTGGTTGACATCATCGCGCTTAGATCCCGACACTACAGCGCTCTACCTCTACCCCACCAAGGCCTTAGCTCAGGATCAACTCCGTGTATTGAAGCAGCTTGTCGAAGGTGGTCCCTCGGCAAACCTCATAAAACCACAACTGTTGTTATTGCAGGGACCGACATCGTCGTTACCACCCTTGATGGTGACTGTGATACGACTGCCCGTGAAGTGGCTAGGTCCCGAGCTCAAGTGGTGCTCACCAACCCCGACATGCTCCATTGCTCGCTCTTGCCTCAACATAAGCGTTATCAGCGACTATTAGGCAACCTCAAGTTTGTCGTAGTGGATGAGTGCCATACTTATCGAGGCAGCTTCGGCAGTCATGTCGCTAATGTCATTCGACGGTAAGAAAAGATAGGTTTGTATTCTCAATATCATGCTATAGGATCCTCATCATAAACAGTCAGCTAGGTTTGAACGCTACTCTTCGTGAAGCTACTATCGAGTTCACCATTTTTTGCGTGTTGACATTATGATATCAAAAGCAGGTGTTTGGTCCTCCCTTGGATTGATGTGTACATGAGTGTTGCCGATCTGTGATGTTGAGTGATTGGAGTAGATTTTTGTATCTAATTCTAAACCTACTGTATATATATGATGAGCTCATAGAAATACCAATGAAAATAATATATAGATACCTAATATGTGGTATAGTGTTTTTTCAGGCTCCGGCGTGCATTCGACTGGCATCAGAACAAGCGTACTGAGACGGAGCGACGAGACTTGCGTTTTATCTGTTGTTCCGCTACAATCGGGAATCCTTCTGAGCTCATGGCCAATCTAACAGGTCAGTTCGCTTCTTCCCGATGAGTCCATCTTGGAGAGTCCTCGTATTGTTCAGGGCTATCCACAAGTGCTCATGCTGATGATAGTGACATTGCTAACGGCATTACAACAATCGGTGTCGATGCCGATGGAGCTCCTCGAGGGCCTCGATGGGTTGTTATATGGCGGCCCAACGACTACAGCGAGAAGAACGCCGGAAAAGCTGGGACAGATGACGCTGTGAAGGTGTGGCCCTTTCTGCTACTCATGCATGTCTCTTGGCCAGGACAAGATCACTGCTCATATCCTCAACACGAGTGCTGGCCTTGGGCAGGAGACGTCCACGGGGTTCGTGGCTGAGACGTCCAAGCTGATGGCGACCTTGGTCCAGATGGGCGTTAGGTATGGCGACCAGGCTTTTCCTCCTCCACGGCTTCACTTCTCTTTCAGGACCATATGTTTTGCTCGGTACCGTCAAATGGTTGAAATAATGCTCTCTCGAGTGAGAGCATTGATGAAGAAAGGCTCGGAAGAGCAAGTGAGTGCAGTTCATAATCCCCTTCTGGATGTGCTCCGCACTCCCAGGTTGTGTCCTATCGAAGCGGATACACCCAGGATTGTCGACGAGGCATCGAGCAACAGATATTCTCGCATCAAGTTCTGGGTGTGATCTGTACCAGCGCGCTCGAACTAGGCGTAGACATCGGCAGTCTTGACTGTTGCATATCTATGGGGTATCCGGGCTCGAGCCACAGCCTGCAACAACAGTTCGGCAGAGCTGGAAGGGTATGTCCTCAGCCTTGACGGAGTCGTAGGTGTGATTTATAACGATTTCCCTTCACCATCTGGATGATCTCGCGCTTGATGAGAGGCTAGTAACGAAGATTTCAGACCATCCTCTGAGCTTTCCCGCAGTATAATGGGGCGAGAGTCTATCTCGCTTCCGTAATTCAGACGGCATAGAACTAGACAAACCACGGAGGAGAGCAAACAGAAATCCCATCCGCGAGAGAATTGCACCTCAAATCACCGCAGAGTCAATTCCCATGCTTTAGTCGGGCCGAGCAAGCCTTTGTATACTCGTCTCCCGCGAGACTGACCCGATCGATCAATGGTTTTCGGCCAAGCCCGAGCGTCTAATGGAAACACTGGGGCAGGCCGAGGATGCTCCCGTACAGTGGGACAACGAGCAAGTAGGGATATTCATAACAACAGTCCACTCCCATCCGTTCGTAGATTCTCCCAAAGCACCTCCTATGTGCTGATAATGAGGTAGAGTTCCGTACAGTCGACGAGGTGTTCAAGTGAGTCGTCGTCACCGATGGTCCATGCAGTGATCTCTTTCCTGCTGTAGGTATTGGCCACCCCCAGTGGATAATAAATTAAGGACAGAGTATGAGAGTATGATCAAGAAAGTACGAAAGGAATCGCCCTTCGTGAAGAAACCTCATTCGAAGGTGAGCAGTGGAGCGGATCTATCAATAACGAAGTTGGAAGTTTGGGTTAGATAAACCTCCGAAGTATCGATAATAGAAGCATTAAAGTGGTCACCCCATCAGCAGATGCTCGAGAGGGCGACAAGCAGATAGATGATATCGATTACAATAACGCATTCTTTTATCTGTTAGCAGCACCAAACTAGGAGGTTCCGTATGCTCTGTTCAGGTACCCTGGAGCAACGTACATGAATCAAGGCACCGAGTACAGGATAGTTGATCTTGATTTGCGCTTTGATAGAGCAATAGCTCGGCCGATGAAGTAGGCCACTGTGAGTAGTTGTTGCTGTTGAGTATCCTCCAAGGCATGAATATTATACCAAGAGTCGTGATATAACTGATGTGCTTTTCTTGAACATCGAGAAGGAAGCATTCACACAAATCCCCTATAGACTATCTAACGCGCCTGTGGAGGCTGATGTACATCTCCGATTCGGTGAGGAAATCTGATGAGAAAGAGTTTGGAGTGTTCAATTGACAGGTCGCGTGGAGGTTTGTACTGAAGTTTACGGTTACAAGAAGTTCAATAAACATACTGGGAGGATAATGGAGACAATAGGGGGATTGGGTCTGCCAAAAGTGAAGTACTTTACCAAGGCCACATGGATTGAGTTCGACAAACAGTTTGCTTTGCAGTGGGACGAAGGAGACTTCAGGTGAGTTGCCCTCTCTTCTAGTACTCTATCATTATGATTTAAATCTTATGCTTGTGGTAAACACATCCTCCATTACTCCATTGAAACGTTTCCCAATCCACTACTATTTCAGGGCAGCCCTTCACACATTCAGCCATCTATGGTTGAGAGCTGTCCGTATCCACCTACTGTGTGACCAGAGCGACGTCAGCACTCAATGTCCAAGTGTTGATGATGTTCGGGAGAGGCCATATACAGCAGTCGTATTTGACACCAAGATTGGGGGTGAGGCACTCGCTAATCGATCGTTTTTTCATCAAGGGGGAAATCCTTGCCAGGTATCGGAGTAGCTTTAGCAGCGTTTGGTCGAGTCCGGCAACTATTAGAAACCGCCTTAGAGATAGTCACCACATGTGACTGTCTTGATGGTGAGCTGCACGAAGAGGATAGGTTTCTGCTTATACCCCTCTCCCCGTAGATGGGTGTCCAAAGTGTGTCCACCTCCCTACCTGCGGCTCGTATAATGACCTCATCAACAAGCGTGGTGCAATCAAGCTGCTCAGCGGTGTAATCGAACGTTTCAAGCAAAGTGACTGATCACATCTCGCACTACAACTAGCAATACTATGGTTTCATTGTGGCCCTCCGGTAGCTGTGTTCAAGAGTTAATGAACAACAATGATGGAATCGCGAGAGTAGAGTGAGAAAAACCAACGCATTCAAATTCCACAGACCGGTGCTAGTCTGGAGTCCGGTCGGCATTTTCCGTTTTGAGCTTTTCTCGCTGGGCACACTTCACATGCCCGAAATGGAAGCAGAAATAGTTCAACTCGAGCGCGGTTGATTTCCGTAGCCTCTCCACCCCACATAGGCGTACACAGAGGGGCATGCACTTCCCCACAGGGATGCTGGTGGGATGGTATCTACCCGTTAACTTGATGGTTTAAGGCTACTTCACTATCAATCGACTATCCGATACCCCTTTGCGAGAGCAATAATGTTGGTCCAACATTGTTGGATATAATCATCACTGCGGGATTTAACATCAACTCCCTCACGCCGAGGCTAGCCTATCATTGTACCACACCCTTTCGAACTTAGCTCCTCAAATACCTTTCGGTGAAGTCCGGTGTTGACGACAGTTGTTCGATGCGAACAGGTTCCTTCCTGATGATTCTTCACCACATATTCATCGCCATCCCGCACGCCATTCTCGCCTCCTCCAGATCAAGTACTACAGTGAACAGGACAAGGCCAATTAAAGAGGCAGGAGTTCATGAGCTTCGACCTCAGCTCCTCCGGCCCCGTCAACATCTCTCGTATCAGGTACTCAGACGATGGACTGATGATACATTTTATGTAAGAGTTCCACATTCCATTGCGAATTCTACTGCCTTTCTATGCTGATACCTAGTGGGGTTACATAGTCGTCGACACTAGCCACCTATATACTCCTTATTCTGGTTGTCCATAGGACGTTGCTCTCGGAGCTCTACTGCATCCCCACTCCCCACCTCAGTTCAGTGAGCTGCTCGTCGATGGTGAGAAGAACCTGCTGAAAGTAAGTGGGTGACTTCCTTGTGTGGTCCGACATCAGTTTTCTTCAGTCTTCACCCGATGCTATACGGATAGTTGACGGCCTCTACAGTGGAGCTCCCAAGCCATCTCTCTTTTTGGTGAGTTTCTGGCAAAAGACGTGGCAATTTTGCTTTGATCGTGATCAGGCACATGACGTTATAGAGGGCAATAGAAAGACTGCTTATTTCCAAGCCTCTAAGCCCGGAGATCCTCTCACTCTACTCGAACTTGAATGCTGGAACAAATTTTATGTATTCCCTGATGGCATTACGTGAGTGTCACTATCGAAAGCGACGTCATAGACAGTGAAAATTGAGTGCTCCTGCACGTAGCTTGCGACTTGTAAGGGACGTTCTTATTTCTTGGGATATCAGACTCTGAATCACATCTACCGAGTCTGCGGCTTGGCCATCGATTGCAGATGACTTTTTGATCCCAATCCTGATTGTTATTCTCAGGGAGTTCGATCTGGCCTTCCCTACGTGGCCAGATGCTGGGGGGACTACATCCAAATATCGGATTCAGCAGTCCGATGTGGCGTCAGCGGCATACAGCATGCTCTATGCCGGTTTACTTGGTGCTGATGTATCTCGGAAAATGAAGGGAGGAGAAGGGAAGGAAATCGAGCCTCCAATGGAGTTTAAATCCAAATTCAACAAGGAACGACTTCGGGCTCGGTTTGCGGACAAGCCGGGGTTAGTGGGGAAGTACATAGCGAGGATTCTCTGTGCCCAAGACTTCCAGGTGATTATATTACAGCCCCTCTGGGATGGAGTTACTCGGTCATTCTTCGTAGGATACCCATGCTCATATCGTTGCTGAGAACAAAACTGAAACACGAGCTGTGATCACGGTAATTTCCGATGGTTTATGTTGTTTGTGATACACTTCTCGGATCGCTCTTATCTCTATCCTTTGAATATGGGAAGCTATTCTCATGAGAAGAGCAACACAGGTTTTTTCAGGAGTTACCTGATGTGTTGCGAGAGGCTGCATCGAGATCTCCCAACACTGACTGGGCCCCCAGCGCTACTTCCCTGGAAGTAAGTCTCGCAATCGTTTGTCCGCAACAACTAGTGCGTTGGTGTTGGCTCCAACTCACTTTGACGAATGGTGTTCGATGATCAGTGTTTTTAGACGATGCCGTTTCCTCTTCTTAGGCATACTATATGCTGTTCAACTCAGGTAGGCCGCCGTATCGTGCTTCCAAGCAAAGAAAGAAGATTTGCAGCTGAAATTTATATTGTCCAGGGGTCAATACTCCAGAGCAAGGCGAACTCATCTTTCTTCCACATCGCTCACAGCGATGGACGCTTGATTTTGCTCAATCACCGTTGCGGTGATCATGAAAACGAGAAGCGATCCAAGCTCAGCTGGCGCGGCTCTTATTCGGAGGACGATAAAGAAACGTACATCCCCGAGGCTTCTGAGAGGAACTGATATTCACTCTCAGGTATTTCCCGGGAAGATTCACTGAATACCATACACTCTCTAGATTCACTGAGTTTTCCTATAAGCTCGACAACGCAGAGGCTGCCATAAACTGGATATACACAGGCTTAGTGAACCGAGCAACGGCATTGCTAATGCAGGAGGAGAAGGAGCCGAGAACAGACCTAACCGCCAACCAGGTATTCATGGCTTCCCTCTGCGACTACCCTTTGAGCAAGATCGAGAGCATGACAAAGCTCTGAGACTCCTACCTTACCCCCCAACAAGTCAATTTTCATATATTCATCAAACGTGATGGAGGTGTTCGGAATCCATGTTAATATCACTGTGGTACTCGTGACTATGTATTGGGTTTGTCAATTCCCGTGTGGTACCGATTGGGTGACCACAAGGATTATGCCCGACTCGCACTCACTAGAACCCAGTCGTTCGTTATCCTCGTTGGGTCGTTGGAGACTTTTCGTAGTCTCTTCACGCATAAGCCACACCGCGGTCTCCATGGTGTCATCCTCCATCCACATCCTCTTTTCTCTCGTCTTGACTGCTGTTGTCGACTACTCTCATTTATGTGAGGCCACTTACAGGCCAAAATTAGAGGTAGGTGTAACTCTACTATGTAGTATCCTCACTCCCGAGTACTCCGTCTCAATGTAGGTCATTGAAGAGCAACCCGTGTTATACACCCCAACAAACGATGATTTACTCGCGATGTATCGCGCCTGGGGGCTGACTGAGGTGATCTCGAAGACCAGGATGCTACACTCAAGATAGAGCAGGATGATTCTCATCTCAGAATGGTGTCGTCATGAAATCCCGTCAGAGTAGCATAACTCTTATGAGGGGCTCCAGTGAAGAACATCCGATAATTTGGGAGATGAGTTGTCCGCCTCGTATCGTGAAGCCGACGGGTGGACTAGCGACCGACCTCAAGAGAGCGGCAAGTGTGCGCGCCTCCTACTTCTTCCCATTCGGGGTGAGGTGAGTTGTCCTCGCCGGGTTCGCTACTCATGTCCTAATGCTCTGGCTATTGCGTGCAGGACTGTTGAGTATTGTCAGGATAATCGACATCCTCGATCCACAACTGCAGAAACGTCTCTATAACGTCAGCATCGAGTTGGGAGAGACGTCTGGATGGAATGCTGCGAAGGAGTTGTGCCGCGTAATGCACAAAAGAGTGGAAACGATGATCACGAGACGTGACACAAAGATCTTAACCGAGGTGGGAGCAGATAACCATTTTGAAGTTCCGAATCCCCAATGACTACCAGATCTAGCTGCTGCTATCTAGTGCTTGGTATCGGTTCATTCTCAGACCCCTCCATTTTTTGAGATCCACAACGAGTTTCCGATAGGCTCCGACACTCCACTCCATTATACTGTGAGATGAGGCTCTTGGAGAACTATACTAAGCTCTTTCATGGTTGTAGTTCACTTCGCGAGCCGTTCCCGATGACTTGATCAATGTTGGAGGCATACGGCTGGATATCAACGCGCTAGAAGTATCTCTTCTAGTTGCTTCAGCGGTTAGATAGTTCATCGTGTCTTAATCAGTTCCAACTTGCGATACCCGATGGGAAAATGCATCTTCGGGTGCATTCTAAACGGTCCCGAGGCGAGGTGCCTTTCTATCTTGACTTCGTCGTCGAGAAAAAACGAAATAATCTGGTTGTCGGGGAATCACTTTGTCCAAATAAGGTTCTCCGAAAGAGAAATAAGAAGAGAGGCTCCTCGCTGTTTGCTATCCCGATACGGTAAGAGAGATAATCGTCAGCGAAGCATATCTCGACGATGTGTTGCCGTGTTTTTACAGGTTATTCCCATCGAAGTGGCCTCAGTTCCACTCTATCAACCATACAGCTCAAGCGAGCGTGACCCTCCCAAGTGGTGCCGGCCTCAAGGATGTCGAAGCAGCCATCAAATGGCTCACCGTTGGTGCGGCGCGCGAGGTCAATGAAGCGCTGAGTTCTTCGAGTCCAATGTCCAAGGAGGACATCGAGTATCTTACGACATTCGGCTCACCGGCAGAGTTCCTTATTCGTCGATACTGCCTTACTTCCGTGACTCCCAACGTAACATCACCATCTGCAGCAGCAGCAGCCGAAGGTGGAAAAGAGCCATCCTTGGGGAGATTTGGCTCGCTGAAAAGAAAGCTGAAGAAACTCGGTTTCAGAAAACAGCGTAAATGATGGAATGACGTCGAGCGCAGCAGGTTCTCATCCATAGAAGTATCTTTATCAATACCCTCCCATGTAATGACTGTTGTAGCTCGATGTTCAACACTTGGAGCTACTTGAGTTGGGATCCAACCATTTCATGGATCTAGCTCTCGTGTACTTCTCAGGCACGCCTCCCACTGTGATGCTCAACACAACAATAAACTGGCTCGCGGCCTTAGCCGTGAGTGCGACTCGATCAGTTGTGAGGGAGTTTTGTCCAGCTTTCTCGATTATCAGACATAGCGGGAAATAGCAGCCGTGGCATAACAACTAACGTTAAGTGAAATCGCCACATTGAATCTAGGGTATTGGCTCACTCTCGCTGTTGGTCCTTGTTATGCTCCTTGTGATGTTTTGGTGCAATCACCTTGGTTTCTTTCAAGCCTTTCCAATAATTATTAGGACCCATTGGGAACGCGTCTTCTCATTGGAACCTCACCATCCGAATGGTGATAGCCGTCACGGCTAAGCCATGGCTACATTAATTCGGTCGCATCCAACACATTACAACATCATTGTTGTAATGTGATGTTCCAATTCAAGAGATATGGATTGGGATACTATCATTCTATGGGTCCCACTCTTGTCAGAGAAGAGGAACCATCATGGTCATGAATGTGATAGCACTTACATTATCATGTATTCAGTACTGTTCACTCGACGAATGTTAGTAATCATCTCAGTATGCACTGTAGTAGCAGCATAAGGCTGGTAGGAGGGAATGACACTACAGTTATTCTTCGCTGTCAGCCTTGATCTAGGGTAGACCGTCTGAACTAGGGGGAAGTCGTCAACTCTGGTGCTTTGCTGAGCATTTGACCGTTATAGACTCGCTAAAATCAAACGGCTTTTCCCAACAAAATCCACAATGCCGCTCCCGAATCGCACCGCTACCGTCGTCATTCTGATGGCCGCTACAGCTCACGGCCTGGAGATACTGAGCGTAGGTTAGTAGCCTTCGAGTCAACTCTGTGTCGTTCGCTGGCTATACCTGTTTGACTAAAACTATAGTGGGCCAACGATGAGTTGCCTCGCTTCAGGTTGGTGAGAATGAGATCCGAGGAACTTCGATGGGGCGACGTCAAGGAGGCCGCCCTGTAAGTCTCTCCCACATTCTTTCAGCAGGGTTTCCATCGTGGATTACAGTGCAACTGCAAGCCCTCCTTATCTTCACTTATAGGTACCCAAGCCTAGAGCTAAGTCATTCCAGGACACGACTAAAGTACAGAGCCCTAACCAATTCTATGAGAGTGATTATTCAGCCGTCGAAGCTCGGCGATATGAAACGGAGGCACACGCTCGATAGTTTCGAAGAGTCGTTGAAACAGTTCTACAAATTAGAAGAGCAAATGAGGCGCGCTGTATCGAAAGTCTCACGCCTTCGTTGCCATAGTCTCCTTCTTAGAACTCCTTCTCGAACTTTGGAACCAGTCAGGATGAGCCTCGATCCAGACCAGTCCTCTCACGCTCGAACGATCAATTCGGAGATGCTCGACGCGAGTCTGTGGGCGGAATTGACCGAGGATACGAGGAGGCAGGCTGACAGGAACCCTCCCATACTGTATCACGTGCTTCTCTGGTAGGCGGGAAGCAGAGCACGAACACTTTCTGAAGAGGAGCTACGAGAATTTGACCCTTTATTGGCTGACGTGAGCACGATTGGTTCGGGGTATTTAGTTGTATGTTTCTGATCAGTCCGATCCAAGATCTGGGGAGGAGGACGTAGCTGTGGGGAATGAATTTCCAGTATGTTCTCCTGCTCGCCCGTTTTTGTGTCCATCAACGCCTCTTTGACCAGTTTTGAATGGTCGTTAGCTTGATTGCAGAGCGTAACAAGCGACTCTACGTTCAGTTCCTCGTTCTTGGTGTGGAAACTCTCATTTTTGTTCCTCGTGCTCGGGGCTTGAGGGACTTAATCGTCTGTTCTGCCGTTTGTGGTCGCAAACTTTCATTTTCGCTCAGAATTTGATCAGCGATACGGCTAATGACTATCAAACAGATACCAACGGACAATCCACAGTGAGAACTCATGATGGCTTAATTAACCATCACTACTAACCCAACCTCGATTCAGTCCATACGCTATTCGATCCAGCAAGCGCCACTCTCTTACCAATCGCTATTAGCCCCAGGGAGAAGGAACACTCTTAGGGTAAGAGTTCGAAAATTGAGATAGAAAAGGAAGATACAACCTGTCAGAGCGATATCTTCGCGCAGTCATCATCAGGAATGTCGGAAAATATTGAAGTAGGCCAGGAGGAAAGCTTATGTCTTTCTCGTGCACAAACCAACACTCTTTTCTATAACATAGTGGGCATCAGGAGCCGCCGTTGGAGTATGAGACGGACGCTTACATGATACGCTTTTCCAAGCCCAGAGCTGGAGGAATCCTCACTGTGAAGGAGCTGAAATGTTTGGTTAGAGCTTCGAGGACTGAGTACGTGCCATCGTCCTCTCTTGGCTACGTATTCCCAGAAGGTCTCACGTGAGTGACGGGCAGCTTCAGTAGTGGTGAAGGTTTGCCTGCTCAGCCGTTTCAAGATGGTCTTGAACCCTGCCTTCGAAGGAGCACCACAGCAGGCAGAGTTCTATGCGATACAGACGACCAACCGTCTGTCGGAATCATTGAGATTGCTCTATATCGGAAGGGTCGGAATGGGAGTGCAACCACCACCAGGGAACGCGACATCATTACTGCAACCAATATCCAAGGCTCTATGTGAGATGATAGATAAGGAGATCGGAGCACTCAGAGAGGATACTGAGGATGCGCTCCTAAAGGTATCCACAACTCTCCTGATCCAACGAAGGTATACCTTGTTTAGGACGTTCCGTTCATGGCCGTACAATTCAATGACGGAGAAAATCCAATAGTGAAGGTAATTTGCCGAGTCTGCCCGTAGGTATTCTCCTGTGTTTTGTATTCAGTTTGCATCAGAGGCTTTGCCTCGTTGGCCGTTCTTTGCAGAATGGTTACAACCTATCAGTTTGAAGGTAGTTCGATCATAACCACCTGGTGGCGCACATATTCCGCCAGTCTGACATGCTTAGGTGGAGGTTAAAAGCTATGTGGGGAAGCCTCCCACGTACATCGTGAAGCATGAGAGGTACTCCGTAAAGTTTGTTGCATTGAACCATAGATTGCGAATTGACTCTATGACATGCCCAGGAAAACTGTGGACCAACAAAGTCCAGAAAAAGGCGAACGAACCTGCGTAGTTGACGTGACGGATTTGCAGACACTGCACGTTTTCGATATCAGGTTGATCCCAGCTGAGTGGAGTGGTTTCACTTTATTGAATTCGTTCGACGCCTTAGAGTTTTCTTTCAGCGGGGATGCTGCAGTGAAGGAAATGAAAGCAGCAATTCATTGGCTGTATGCTGGACTGCCTTCCACCATCGAGAAGAAGTTTCACCAGCAAAATATGAACAAGAAATCACGCAAGGGTCCTGATGCGAATAGTGTTTTCGTTCGAACCCTCTGTCAAGCCCAATTGAGTACAGCGGTGCTCCAAGAGTCGAATACTAGTCGGAAGAAAGATAAACAAGCTACGGGATACAGCAGAAAATAGAGAAGTTTGTGCTGAACACGGTAGAATGACGAAGCCGCAAGCCATGAGATGTCATCTTCATCTTTCGCTGAATTAGTTCACCCCCTGACTTCACGACTCACCCGGTGTACCCATGCTCTTATCGTTGTCCCTCCACCGAGAAATTTGCGTTCACAGTAAACTGCCCATCTTTCCGTTGCTCGCGCAATGCACCCCAAGCTCGCAGATAAAAAATGTCGCGAGATCAGACTCTCTCCTGTCCTCAACGAGTGTGCATGTCCGACACCATTAGACGCATTCATACTAGTGTGCGGCAACATAAGGCATCGATTCCCATGTCTGACAGCATCAGACCTACTAGTACTCATGTGCGACAACATAAGAGTCATTGATACTCATGCCCAACAACAATAGGCTCATCAGTACTCGTGTCCGATAACATAAGGCACATTTAATACTCATGTCCGATATCATTAGGGACATTAATACTCATGTCCGATATCATTAGGGACATTAATCCTCATGTTAGAGTCATCAGTGTCCGATAATATTAGAGGCACTAATACTCATGCCCGATAATATTAGAGGCACTAACACTCATGTCCGATAATATTAGAGGCACTAACACTCATGTCCGATAATATTAGAGGCACTAATACTCATGTCCGATAATATTAGAGGTTCTAATACTCATGTCCGATAATATCGCCATAGTCATTAGTACTTATGAACGATAACATCGCGAATGCGCGACCACGATACGAATATCCATATCGATATATTCTACCCGCTTCAAGAGTACTCGAGAACCCAATGCATGATAGACTATATGGATATGAGAAACTTGTCATCAATAAACATGGCAATGTACTCAGATGATACGGCTTGCATAGCACACGAAAGCTCCACCGGAGAGCAGCTCCAGCTTAACCTTACTCCTGGCTAGCCTTGTCGATGTCGGCAAGTCGGCCGATTCACAATCATCGTCATCTCGAACTTTAGGAGTAACACACCACGTCCGCAACAATTCAATGCAGAACAGGTCACATTCACGACCGAGGACTTCCCATAGCGTGCCGACAACACGGGTGCTTCCACCAACCAAGTAGTGATAAGCAGGCGGTATGGGCTCGAACCTGATGAGCGACAACACGTGAGGGTCCAGGGACGAAGGCCCGTCACTAACCTGCTACGGACTCCTTCAGTTCCTGATGAGCGAAGAGAGGCACAACCCATGAGCAGGGCGTCGGCTCGTAGAACCTACCAAGAAGATGGACTCCATAGTGTACACACTTGAACGTACTCGTTTTTCCATGCCGCTAGTGGACCAGTACTGTCCACCACCACTATGACCAACATAGAGGAAGACTCGCCGGCTCGCCAGTGCTCCCACTACTTCTTCAACCGGGGGATCAACGCCTGAGATGCAACATGGACCAATGCGATCGATGATTGTGACTCACCGGATCGACCTTCCCAGAACTCGCCAGCTAACAGTGGTTCGAGCTTCTTGTTCGATTCAGTGAGATCCCCACTCGGGTCGATAACGTAATACCCGCCCTTACCAACAGCCGAAGCGGCTCCATCAGGCAGCAATAGGTTGATGGAGCCACCTCTCACTATTGAATGCTCCCTGAAAACTACAAATACCACTATATAATGACAGTGCAACGATGCGCTCACCCTGTGAGCATGAACTCTATCGGGAGGTTCATTAAACACGGTGCGAGAAACAGATATAGTGGCGATACTCGGGGGCCGACCGCAGACACCGGAGACCTGATGAGTATCTGATACACTTATAATCAGCTCGTTACCTCTCATTGGCAGCGTCGAGCTCCACTACAGCACGAAGCGATTGGATTCTTTTCCGGCTCGCAAGATCGTCAGGCAAGTTGTCGTGGGATTCCAGATAGACTCCAGGAGATACACAAGGGCCTCCCCCCAACAGCAACAATGCAGACCAGTCCCCCAAGAGGTCTTTCTTCAACCGCTCCAAAGCTTTCTGCGCCCTCCCCTCGAAGTTTTCACGATTCCGCCAGAACTTCGAACCATCCTGCTTGGACTCAACAGCTTGCCGGACATCAGCCATGTTGTCTCCTATGATGTTTTCAAAGGCCCTCGCGGCCCGCATGACGACTTCTGGTGACCTCGAAAGCGGAGCTAGAAAGCATCGACCTGGCAGTATTGGTATCAGCTATACCGATAGAGTGAGGCGCTCACCCCAAGGGAATCGGCGCAGCAGCCAGAAGCGGCCAAGATGATCCTGCTCGATGAACAACGCGTTGAAACACACCGGGGAAGCGCGAGCATCCACTGTGTATGGCCAATGGGGGGTGCATAGACTATTGAGGAATCTATAAAGCAACGAAGAGAGCATCACTGCGAGTCTCAACGGAGACCATCACCCTTGGCGTTGAAAGCGATGACGCACGAATGCATGCAGGTGGTTTTCTGATGCTCTTTCAGACAAACGATATTCAGCCAGCATAAACAGTGCTGCTCTCGAAGACCACGAAGCTGAGGCAAAGCACTGATCAGTGACATTCGTTTAAGAATATGATTCTTTGATTCAGAGTCACATCTGAATAGATCCTCAAGTCCAAACTGTATCCCTAGGATGATCCCACGAGGTCATTCTTCTCACCTGCAACGAGCGCAGCCTCCGACAGCACGTTCCTGAACTGGACTCTCTGCTTCTTAACAACTTTACACAGCACTAAGTCGCCCAATAACGTCAGCAGCAGCCGACCGGCCCTCCTGGCCAACCACGCATTCTCAGCTTCCACTACTGCTCTGTTGAGGCAGGCTCGTGCTATCTCAACCAGTCTCGTCATTCCCTCAACGTAAGGACAGCAGTCTTTACACTGTTTATCTCCCCGCTTCAGCTTCCCTGTCACTCGGGACTCTCTTTGCCCGGCCGTATCGGCGACACGCAATATTCGTTCCAGACATTCAGAACAAACGACGCGGACTGGCCGAGCGTCACATTGATCGCTGTGGAGGCTCTCAGCCGTCTTTATCTCGTTCTCGAGAGTTGGACGGTCGCGCCCCAACCATGGCAATTCTGGCATCCCTGTGTCAATCTAATTTAACGGGTCTCAGATGAACCACAAGGAGTCACCACTCACCTCCTCTGTGACACTCCTAACGAGCTGATAGCCCACAGGCCGTATGGACTCCTCGGAGCAGTCTCTGCACTTCTGATAGAAGAATAGAGCTCCTCGTCGACAGCCCATCTCGTCGTGTGCAACTCCTGTCAATAGAGCTGCCCTATATGCTGCCATGACCTGAGATCCGCTGCCCTATCTCAACGCACTGCGAAGATTCTCACTTTCCATGCCCCAGACTCATGATGCCCGCTCCTCTCCTCTAGAAGTTGCCTCGAGATGTGACTTGTGGCATGAGCAAAGCTGTCCTCATCTGCTGGCGGCCAATGAAGGAGACGCAACTGATGACGACCGGCTATCAGTTGAATTTGAACGTACGTACAGTAATACTCATTGAGGAAGAACAATGCAGAGTAAGACAGGTTTCATGGCATTATCAATACTTACCGAGTACTGGAATCGATGAATACGATCCTCACAACATGATATTGTCTATATATGATCGGCCCTATTTATGCAAACGACATATCATCGAGTATTAAATCGCATTTCAATAACTATTAGGAGAGCGCTCGGTGAGGACCTACCAGTCTCAGGCCTACAGATGCCCGTAAGACTGCCGCCAGCCTCCTGCAGTGGAGCCATTCTAGAGCGGCCATCAGGAGCATTGGCCGCTTCCATCCCTCCGAGTCGAGCGTCTCGAGGACGTTGTCGTTGAGACCTTTGATGTTCGTACTGGTCCACAAGTTCATCGTGAAATCGGTGATGTAAGGAAGCCAGAGATCATCAGAGAGAATCTCGCCATAGGAGCGTATTCTGTGGTAGAGGCTCGACTGGAGTACTCGGAGGAATGAGCTGACCAACAACGCTGCTCCGAAGCGAATCGAGTGATCCCGAGCCCCACGATGAACTGAAGCTGGGCGATACGCTCACCCCTCGGTGCTGTCTTCTCCCATGAGGACTATACACCCGGCGAGGACGGCGAGGCTATCCTCGAAATCGGTAAGGTGGGGTAGAGCGATATGGAATACTAGCTTGGATAAACCACTAAGCCCTTCGTTGCCGCGTCTTCTGGAATCCAAAATCTACAGAGGATACGCATCCTATAGCTGAACAGGATCGAGCTCAACCAAAGCTCCCAAAATTCGGAACTAAATCTCAAACCGCTTTCGACGAGGAGAGAGCACTTCCACAATCGATCATGAGTTCCAATTCACTGAAATCAGTAATCTACTGGAACCCGAAAGAAATTTGCCGAAATAAATTTACTGAACACCTAGATAATCTCACCTCTATGTCGCGCGCCATAGTTGCGTCACAACCGGTCATCTCATGAATCATGACTAAGAGCACGGACTGCACCTTGCGACCTTCCAACGCTTGTAATGCTGCCGATTTGCTCAGCAGAATCGAGCACACCATAACCCTGACTGCCAGAGAGAGGGCCGAGTCAACCATACAGGCAAGTAGGAGATCGGGAGGCATCTGATAGGATTCAGATGGAGATGAATACGTCACTGCGTCTACGTGAGTCAGCAGCTTGCAGCAGTCATAAAGGGCGGTCTTGGTCGCCACTTCACCGTGCAGTAGGAGGCTCCGCACGGGCTTCCCGAGAACATGCGCTGATCCACCGTCCGTTATCGATCTTAAAAACAGGCGAGGTAGATCTGGTGAGTTGACCCGCTGTACCGTGCAACTGTTCGGAGTCTGATGATGTCGGTGATGATATTCTCAGATGACGATGGAGTACACAGCTCCTCAGACATCAGCATCGACAGTGTCTCGAAGACCTCATCCTTTTCCACGCACTCCCCTTCCATGGAGCTAATGACCACAGCGGCTAAAGTAACAACGACTCTGAGTGTCGCAACAATCGTATATCGTCGGAAAGATGGCAGCGAGTAGCTCAATTCGCCCACTTCTTCCCTTATAAGATCAGAGCGGATAATAGCCGTACTACTATTTTCGGGTTGATGATGGCCTACAAGATGTGGAGGAAGACCCCACGAACCCGAAACCCGAACCCGCTTTAATGAATTAATTAGTTTATTTCAAATTATCAAATTTATTGAAGTTCTTATGATGTACATTATTTGAAGGCCCATTTCCTAGCTCTTAGTAGGGCTTACGGGGCGGCTATGCCACAGCCCCAAGATATGTCCTCATACAATCGATTCACCAGGAGCACGAGGTGAGAGAATCGATTATGTCGGTCGGGGCCGCTATGCCACAGCCCCAAGATATGTCTTCATACAATCGATTCACCAGAAGCACGAGGTAAGAGAATCAATTATGTCAGTTGGGGGCACTATGCCACAGCCCCAAGATATGTCTTCATACAATCGATTCACCAGGAGCACGAGGTGATAGAATCAATTATGTCAGTCGGGTGGGATATGCCACAGCCCCACGATATGTCTCAGTCCGGATAATTCTACACACTCAAAAGCAACCGACTTAGCCATCATGCCCTCGAAATTAGTGACAAGTTGTCACTGACAACATGCAGACATGATCTACTTTGAGTAAACACGGATAAGCGCAAAGTGATGCCATTGAGAAAACACATAGTATCCCTATACGACGTGATCCCAAGTCCACTCACCCAGACTGGCCAGATCCGTTCCATGGTTTCCACCCATCAACCGTGCTGTCCGCGCTCCCAACACAGAACCTTTCAGGGCCGAGATAACCTCGTTTTCGGTCTTCAACGACGCCAACGATCGCAATCTCAACCGGAGTCCCCATGGCTTCAGTTGGACTGCTTTGCACACCTCTCGACGATCCTTCGACCTCAATGGTCCCTGAGAAATAGTCTCACATGCCCGTCAATCTGGAAGGGCTACTTCTGGCATGCCTTCAGTGAGGGCATCGACGAGGAAATCCACCTGCTCCTTCTCGCTGGTGTGAGCCAGCTGAGTGAGGTTATCGACAAAGCTCGACATACTGCTGCTCATGCACAGAGAAACTGGCCTCCAGAGATTGACAACACAATGCACAGAGAGATGGAGTATAAACTAATTATGATGACAATAATACCTGGTATAATCCTCCTTACCGGAAGTGGATCATCTATGCACCTTCACGTCGACCAGCCATGGCCGAGCTGACACGATCACCTCCAAGCCCTCGGCAGGGAACCAGCTTATAGATGAGCGGTCTGAAGGAAGAATCCTTTGAGAGCAGTAGCCTCCTCGCCGGCCATACAGAGGCTCTTCCTCAAGCGTCGTTTGAATACCAATCTCCTGTTGCAACACTTCCCGACTGAACGGTCTTTCCTCGGGAGTACCCGTTTCTGAGGTAGCGATCAAGCTCAGGAGGATTCCCAGGGACCTACCTGCCGTGAAGGTGGAGAGTGAGTGGTGATAGCCGTTGAACTCGAAATACCTTAGATTGAGCACAGAAGAGGGGACCAGAGCGCTTCGGCTCACTCTCGAATGAGCTCGTTAATGATGACATTTTCCTTTGGGGGTGATGGTACGTTATCCCGCCCCTCCTCCTTGAGAGTACTGAAGATCTCCGACCGTAGCTGAGCCCTGATCTTTCCCAACGTCCCTCGAGACTCCAAAACGGTCTCGAGAGTTTCACGAAGTTCCTTCAAGGAGTTACCCGCTGGTTGGGAAACCATAAGCGAGGGAGAATTGAAATTGAAGTGTTGTAGCCTACAGGAACTCATCCTCGTGGAATTGGAATTTTGCCGCGCAAGAGCGATTCATACTGTGCGAATGTGCACACGGCGATCCATAATTAACCACCTCCAACACGCTCCTTGATAGAATCCTTAGAAACCGCTACAGTCATTCGACTTTCTGATAAAAAGTATGTTCCACTATACTCGAGTGCGTCACACGCGATAAAACATGATAAAAACGTCCAACTACTAGGCCAGTGTAGTTCCTGCTTATAGCCATGATGCAAGTTGGCAAGTGCAGCCACAGTACATTCAGTAAAAAAAATCAAATCTTGCTCCGCTCCGCTCAATCATCGACCTCGACAGAAACAGGAAGATCCAAAATTACGGGCCCGGGGAAGTCAGCAATCTCGATGAAGCAGGGCTATTCGGGAGCGCTCGCTTGGTCGTATGAAGGACTCTATAGAATCCGCTTGTAAGGTTGATCATCCACAACGTAGCAACGCAGCCGACTAGTAAACAGCCGATGTTGATGATAAAACTCGTGGAGTAACAGCCAGATGATACACAGACCTTCTTGCCTAAATAACAGAGCCATTAAGTCCTGAGTAAGGTACGGACCTACTCCCATCGAAATAAGAATCCGCATCATAGAGGCGTCCGAAGACGAGCGAAGCCAGCAAGAAGGAGCCCGTAACCTGAGTAACAGGGAATACCCGATGCATAACGAGTAAAGCATCTACCATGTACCTGAGCTATCTGGATGAGAGTATACGTTGAAGCCAGATGACTACGACCATACAACTCAGCACAGATAGCAGCCATCAGCGACCAGAATGTACCTTACAATACAACAGCTATAAAGACAATCTAAGATACACTTTATGGCTCCTCATAAGACGTATGGTCATATAACCGCACGGTCCATACTTACCATAAGCCATGCCCACCACTGCACATCCAGCCAAGACTAGCCCAAGCAGAGCCATCGCATATCCGACGATCATGAGGACCAGACCAAACATAAGAGCCCATGGCCGAACCACTAAGGCATCGGATAGCCTTCCACTCAACACACGCCCTGAGCCAAAGCCACCATCGTCCATGAATCATTCCGAAGACGAGGCCCAGCGGATGAATACCGTGCGAAAAGCTGATATTCATTTAGATAAGAACTTATGAGGTCTTGACCAAGACTAATTCTCCTCCTCGAACCCTTGAGAGAGGGATCGACAAACATCAACCTATGCTCTGCTCGAGGCCATTGTACTACCCCAGAACCCTACCAGCAGCGTTCCCGATCGATATCATGCTAACCATACTCGTGACCGCTCCTTTACTGAGACCTGCGGCCAGGCCTATTTGAGCTGAGTTGTTGATGACAGTAAGTCCACCACCGAAACCAGTGAGCAGGGCCACGAAATACAACCAGAACACTCCAGTGAGCATAGTCGCTGGACCCTACACACACAGTGAGTAGATGTTACCCCTGCATAGATAAGAGCACTACATTATCTACACGCTTAAAACAGCATCTATCACTGGTTAACATCTCCTCGAGAGGCTCCTGCTCCAACAAGGGATCAGTCTTGGCTCTGGGGTCGTTCAAGGACCGAACCTGACAAAGCCTCATTATCCCCTCGAAGTGAGAGGCCCTTCAAAAGCGAATAGTTCGAAACTATGAATGAGCATAGCTAGCTCCTATACTGTACTGAGCATGACACTAAGCAAAATTTGCTTAGCAAGTAGTGCGACTCGAAAACAGAAGTATCTCGCGGACCCCCAATCTCACATCTGTTTTAACTGCCGACGGGAGGTACAGTACTGTTGGGATAAGCACAGCCAACGAGATGCCAAACCTGAGACCGGTGACTACTACAGTACAAAGTATGGCCCTCACACACATTCCTGATGGCACTAACATCAGAGCATCTTCTGACGCGAACTGTAGAATTCAATTCCCACACCTTTTACAATCCCTCACACATCACCACTACATAATGGTTAGTGGAACATCGAGCAAGTGCGGTATTAAAGACCCCACAAGGCACTCACGCCACAATCCCCGGCAGGACGTCGGGAGCAAGGGAGTAGATCGTCAATACTACGGCCAATACAGTGAGCATACTATACGATATTACGAAGCATCGATGGTAGGCGTAATACCTGATAAAAATACTGCACCAGAATATACGACTAAGCACTGCTTACTCCACACTAACGTCTTCGTGCACAACGAATATAAAACGACTACCAATAACTGCGATGATGGGTGCCGCTACTCCCACGGTGAGAAGGAAATCAAGAGGGTTATTTGATAAGAACGTCGCTGTGACACATACCAAAAACGATGCACCTACCACCACGGAAATCACTGAACCTGAGTTGCCTCACGATAGTTTACTCAGCCCATAGAACGCTTTAACGATGCCGACAACCTTCCCTCTGTGCCACGGGAAGTTCTTGGTATTAGTCGAGACCAGTGCGGTATCCATCCATCCCACTCCTTGCCCAACACACAGGAAACATAGTATCTACAGGCCCATCAGTATAGCTCAACTAGGGGTATACAGCAGCTCACCGGCGGTAGCGGTATCCAGATCCCCAGCCTACTAGGGAGCCATACCAAAATGTAACCAGCGGCAATCAGTATAGAGCCTGTCAACAACCTCGTTGCCTCTTTCGACTGACATCGGGTGAACGTCACTGTGCTCATTACCAACGAGTATAGTGGGCCGAGGTCCGTACTTGTCGCAGAACAGTCCTCCGAATATTGATAAGCCATTGCCAGCATTGAACGCCAGAGACAGATACGTCAATTGGGACTGCATACGATAAGCTACACATCCCTACCGCGCGTCGCACAGATCTTTCACAGCTACACATTGTACTTGAGAGCTACTACGGACGCACACCCCTACCGGAAGTACCTGACTCAAGTCCAACGCCAATTTGAGCTGCTCTGAGTACAGGCCGAAAGTATAGACCGAGCCACAGATGATCATCAATGGCAGTGAGGCCGCAGCTGTAGCCCAGGCCGCTACGCTTGGACACATTGGATGATCGCGATCGATGGTAGTCATCAACAGCGAGGAAAACGAAACCTTAATGAATGTGTCCATGAGCCTATAAACCTTTAACGATCAGCCCTACGGTACCATACTCCCCCTGAGATCACCGCCGTGCTTAATTCGAGTAGTAACGCCTATTCTAAATTAAAATAGACAAATCTAAACCGCGCAATGGTCTAATTTGAAGTAATCTGGCAGAACTAATCTAAACTAAACTCTATCTACCTCTGTTTATACTCTTTACAGTATTGTAAGGGTTCGTCTAGGAACTCTGGATGTTATTAGTTCAAGCCAGGCACCCTCCTACAATGTATCCTGTATATCCTACACTAGCCTACACTTGTCGTAGATAGAAAGACGATCGCCAAGTGGTTAGACCGAGCAGAGTATGCTGTCATCCGTGAACCGATGCTTCAGTTACAGAACAATCATCTACTCATTGCCTCCTGATCATACCAATACCATAATTGAGGACTCCACACAACAGTGCCACCTCTGAGAAGACTCGAGCCGTTGGGCAAACGACCCACCATGTTGTTCTAGACGCTATGTTACATCATCATGTAACTTACATGATGTAAGTTACATGTCATCATAGAGCGACTAGCGAATCACGAGTCGTGAGTCATGCACTACGGCTCAGCAAGTTCAGCTTGAGGGAACCCTCCTCCCAGAGATCATGTTGACGATCCGCCTTGCTTACTTAATGGTACGGTGGTCTCGTCCCACTTCCCGAGCAATTACAAACCCCTTATTCAAACAATTACCTCAAACAATGTCACTGCTCTGTCGAATTCGGCTAAGAGTGGCTCCTAATGCGACTGGGGAAATTCATTTTTCCCGGAACTTGTAGAATCCTCACGAAGGAGTTTCGCTCGCCCATAAATCTCTGCGCGCACAAGTCGTCCACTTCATTTTTAAGTCTTCTGATTTGACTAAAGCCATTGAATAAAAAAGAGACTTATCTGGGGCGGTATGCGGATACTGATTCGAGAATCACAGGCACTGATTCAACTCACTATCTGATTTCCGATTTTGATTCAACTCACACCATGATTCACAAGTGTTGATTCAGATTCAGGATTCGCGAGTACGATTCCTGATTCCTGATTTCGCTCAAGCGTTGATTTCGATTCTTGATTCAGAATCATGATTCCTGATTCAGAATCATGATTCCTGATTCAGAATCATACTCAGCCATTGATTCTGATTGTGAATCAATGAGTCAGAGTATTTACTCAACCCAGTGAGTAAGAATCATGATTCTAGATTTTTTCAACGTGATTGTGATTCAAAACTCATACTCGTGAGTATTTTACTCAACTCGAGAACGCCAAAGATTCAGAATCAGATTTTTACTCAGCGTGTGATTCCGAATCATACTCACGCCGTGAGTATCTCCATTTTTCCACGTTATTTTGCCTTGATTCGTACCGGGGGTCCGGACCCCCCGGGTACCCAATCCTGATTCTGATTCTCGACCTTGATTCACGACTTCAGCGCGCGCCACGGAAAACCTCCTCTGCTGCTTGCGATGGCTTAGGTGCTTAGAATGACCGTGCCGGGGGATAGGACCTCGGCTTTGATCAAGTGAAAGTGTATCCTTGACCAGTTGAGCTGTGAGATTATACAATATAAGACAGTGCAAGGAGGTATAGCTATACTATAGCGCACGTAGTGCATACAGGATATCAGTATGACCCTGCCCGGGAGTAGAACCCCTGTTTCGAGCACGTGGAAGCACACCCTTAACCAGTTCAGCTATGGGATCACACGATACATAACGGTGGATGGAGGTTTAGCGCATGTAGTACATGCAACCACACGGTGTGAATTGCGCATTCCTTAATTCAATTAATTATTCATAAAAACAATAAATGCCCTTCATCGATTCTCTTGAGGGATTGTCGGATTCCGAGTGAACATATTGAAAAGTTTGAAGTACGGATGTGTACACGTGCGACAAAAGATCTTCTTTCACAATTTTGTCATTGTTATAGCGGAACGGGAAATGTTCATGCATTTAGGACGAATTTACCAGGTTCTACCCTCGCAAAGTGACATTTTCCTCCTTTCTTGAAAATGTCACTTTCGGATGTGGGGCGTAGCGACTATATTCTTCGTCTTGTCAAAAATGTCTGATCCAATCTCTGATTCCCTGATTCTCGAAAATACTCAGATTTAATGGAATCACCCGAAAAATCAGTCTCATGAGCAAGGCATATTGAGTAAGAGTATTAATCAGCCAAAAAATCAACTTTAGATTCGCGAATCAGCTCGGAGATTCACATATCATCGCGATGATCCTGATTTCTCGCTCCAGAGTAGAAAATCAGCGAATCAGGGGTTAATACTCACCATCTGATTTTTTCATCTGAGTAAATACTCTGACTCACCTGTTGCATCAGGATCCGCATACGGCCCCTGAACATCAATTAATGAATCGAGTCAAGTCTCACTTTCATTATAGCGTTGTTTTCTGTTATAACTCCACATTGGGCTGACGAAGGTTTTCTGTAGCGTTTCCACTATTTTCGTGACTACTACACAGTACCCAGAATCTGGGTACTCTTCAATACTGTGCAGTACTGTGCAGAAACTGGGTCCCAGATGCGACTTGCCACAGTTGTGGGGCGTGAAGCTCTCGCTCGCCATTTCATATGAGTAACAGTCCTCGACTCAATCTGAAAATGCTAGATACGTTATATCAGTTGGTCTATGACGAATTACGCCCCGAACTGAGATAGTCGGACTACCCCAGAGTAAACATAGTTAGGGTCAGCAACAACTGATTGGTTGTTGCTGCTACATACGCTAGCATGCACATCATGACATTGTCGAAGTGCATTTCGTATCTGATTTACACGAAGGAGCATTATGCGCTGTTACAGTCACACGATTTCCTTCGGGAACGAGAAACCTTATACCTTGCATTTCCGAAGGTGAGGAGCTCGACGGCGACCGACGGCAAGGAAAAGCCACGGAGGCTTCACTCAAACCGCCTCCTGGTGAGACCATACTCGCTGAATCGGCGAGCTTCGTTTCTGCTCGTGAGTACAGTTAGTGATACTAAGATGCTCATTAAGGAGTTGTCGATTTTCAAAACTACTCATATTCGAAATCTTACTTGTATTCGCATGACAATTTGAGGAGTGCTCAGTTTTCTCAACTCTAAGGCGCCTCGAAAGAATAACTCAGGTAGTGGATTAGTTCATCGGGGATACTAAAGGTTTACTAAGGCTTGAGGAACAATTCGGCTGCTATCAGACAGCAGCCAACAGATGGTGGCAAATTTGCTTGAGATAGAACGCAAGTAGGCTTCCCTCACGGGGACGCGGTCATTGAATATCCCATTCTGAGGGACTCGGGTCCGCAAGACTGATTGCCAGTCAACAGAGATTCAAAAGGATGGTGCCGTCGTTGTAATCTTCCCTGGAGTGATTTCCCTCGGGAGTGAGGAGAGGGCGCAGTGAAGGAACTAAAAGATCGGAGTCAGCCTCCGTGGCCCCAAAGTCTGAGGTTTGATGCAATCTGCCGCTTGTGTTTCGGCATCTTCGACGGCGCAATGTACACGTGCGCCGCGTTTCTGGATCATCCAGAATGGATGGCATATAGTATGGAATAGCTCCTTCAATTACTGTAGTTCGAGACCCGAAGTGAATCAGATTAATAAACAACAACAGTAGTTGGCGACTATGCTTAGCCTTCTTCCAATCGAAGGTGTATGAACACTGGTCAGCCGACCGCACAACCACCACTGTGTGCGTGAATCACTGCTGGACTCAACTCAGAAGGCCTATCAACAGCGCTCCCGCCCCATATGCCCCTCGGTACTCACGGGAGACGGAATGGGTATACCCGGTGCGAGCTCGGCACTGGTTGGTGCAGCTCATTGGCGAATACACTAGAGCATCAGCATTTCATTGAGCAAGATCCGTCGTTGTCTCCTCGAATGTTGACGTGACACAAAATTTATATCATTCACACGTCGCAATGAGATCCTTTCTTATGATCCTGCCGTAGCTCTCACCATGCTTGGTGGTCTGCACTTAGATGACTTCACTTATCACATGCTTTGGCGGGCTGGAGAGTGTTAGAGAGGTCGAACACTGTCGTCGGCGCAGTCTTCAGCATGCGTGCCGATTCCAAGACGATCTGTAGCTAACGTATTCGCTATTTATGTCGTCCGCCCCTCACTTTACTACATCTCCTTATCCAAGTTATGTGAGGTGTCAGCCCTCTCTGACCCTTGGATGGGTACTCCTCAGTGCGGGGGCACCACAAGGGAATCGTGTTATCTCTATGCTCTCTGTGTCGCTTTGAGGGCGAGGTTTTGTCTGTGGCCCCCTTGGTCGTGTTCCCCCTCCCCCTCCCCCATCCCTCCGGACATCCCGTCCCCTGGTGACTACCTCGTGCCTTCCTCTACCGTAGTTGTTTTCGTTTGAAACATGGCATTCCATTCTACTTCAAGGAGATTCCATGTATCCCCACTACTTTGTGTGTGGCTCCCATTGCATCAGGCACTCTCCCGGTACTGTACTGTCTTCACCTCATGGATGCATTCCCTCGGTAGCTGCTCTCAACCTCGGGTGAACTCGCATCAGGTTTCCATCGAGATTGCATGTGAACACCCCGATCATGGCTCATTCGGAGATTCTCCCAGAGCTTAACAGAAGACTTCTCCACTCGAGGCGTTGTTTTGGCCAAATTGTCCCTTCTATCAAATCAGGCGGTCTTCAGCGAAGTTCGGATACCTCCGTCATTGACTTCTATTATTGACTTCACTGCACCCTCTGGTCTTCTCTTTATGTTAGTCTTGACTGACAACAAAGGCTCATCGAATCGATATGGTGAACTTCACGAGGCTACAGGTATCCTTGCGGATGAGGGTCGAGCTTTCATCGCTGTGCAATTCCTTGAGATCGTACCGGCCTGTATTGGAAATCTTCACGTTTCCATCTTGGTGTTCATTGGAAATATTGATGGGTATGGTTATGTGGCATTCATTTGAATATTATTCACTGTTATATCCTCCTGGTTCTATTTGCATCTACTAGTGTTTCATCAGCACACAGAAGAAGAGTGACTTTGGACTTCTACACGTAAGTTGGTTTCCTCATGATGAATGGACATTCACGTCTTTTCGTTTCTCTTTCATTCCGGTATCCTTCGTGGGTGCCTCACCTGTCATTGCTGCTACTTTGACTGCATGCCTCTGCCTGAAGAGTATGATAGTGAGAAGTTACTCGATAACCATCGCTAACCAGTCTCTAGTAGGCCACTGAGTGTAGATCACAAACTTAGCGGACTTGCGTAGATGCTCGGACTGGTCTGGTACTGGTCGTTTCCTCAGTTTTTTTAAGGTTTTTCCAACGCTGATGCTTTCCACCCGTTCATTCAGACACAAGACTCTTTGCGAAGCTGCTAGACACGTGAACGTTTTCCTGTTTTATTTTACGCTATATGAGATAGTCTTTTTCTTCTTGCGCAAGATCGACACGAGCAACCATTGAACAAGATGATATCCGAGTATGGAAAGAAGATGTTCACAGAAGCGTTTAGAACATCCTGAGGGCTTTACTCGACTACACTACGAGAGGGACAGGGTCTTCCCGAAGCCAGTTTGGCTAAGGCCTCTGATGATACTGCTGCAAGAACATTCTTCAGAGTACATCCAGCTCAACGGGGGCGATACCCGCTATCCATCACTTCATACTCGACCAAGAGCCGGTACCATTACCATCATCGTCATCATCATCATCCGCTTACATTCTTTTGTCACTGCGCAACCAATCCATCTGGAGTAACACAATTAAACATAGCTGATTGATGAGCACACATAAAACACCCCAATCTTTCGATAGATTTCATCTCGCCTGTAAGGAGTATTCCTTCCCTTTTTCGTAGTAGCTTCAGATCCGACGTATGGCGGCTTCTGGATGATAATGCCCTGTTGATGAACGGGTAAGTTTTCTCCATGATGGATGTGTTTGAATTGCTTTGACGTTGACTCTGTCACTCTTTTCATGTACGGATGCGGCACTAGACTGGGTGCTTCACCTGTCATATATGGTCATGGATGGAGGATTGAGTTGGACAACATGTGTAAGTTGCCTTTTTAGGTTACCTGAGGAGAACAGCACACTAAGTGTGGGTGCTGGACCCGCCACTCCTAACGCCAGTACTCAAGAAGTTCTCATTTTAAGCTCGTAGGGATAATCTTCCATGATTCTAGAATTTCCTCTATGATCTTTTCTACCGATGTTCCCGTTTTTGTAGTCGGTTTGTTCTCAGGCGCTATGTAGGGGATTTGAGATCTTCGCGACGTGAATTCTATCCCGCTTTCTCATCCTGGTTTCTCAAAATGGTTTCCAAATCACAATAGGGGAGGGTAGGCGTCATACTTGGGGAAGGAGGGGATACAATGGGATTGCAGCAAGTACATGTCTTCGTTGTTTTTCGAAGCTATGGGTAGATCTGTGGCAGCACACATCCATGAGGAGAACGGCAAGCAAATGCATAGACAGGTGAGTAGGGAGGTGTCATCTTATCGGCGTTTAGCTTTACGTGGGATGAGGTCGTTCTGTCTATTACCTAGTGCGGGTACTCAGTCGTTTGCTTTCCTTTATTCCGGTACCCCGACGTGGGTGCCACACCTGTCAGATGGATAGGAGTTATGGATCCGAGCTGTGTAAGCTGTTCAGTGATGCTGTTCTTTGTGTAGTTCCCCAGACGGCATCACCCGACTGAGCATTTGCCGGGTGGGTGCCGACACCGCAACCTCTCAATCATCCTTATCTCGGCCCGGTTATCACACTTTAGTACATTAGTTGGCCGAATTCGCGCTTACTTTCTTAGCATTGAAATTCTTCTCTTCTTCATATCACTTGACTTCCCATGTAAGCTTTCCGTTTTTCTCCAAGTGTTGAGAGTATCATTGTAAGCACAGACGGGTTGGATCCACTCTTCCGGGTATTGCGTTTCTCTACTGCATTGCACTGTTTGCACTAGATTGCATCCGCACTACAGATTCGCCACCATTCACAAGACGAATTGAGTACAGCTAAAGTATGACTGTCGATCCACAGTGGAGAAAACTACGCCTTTCCCCAGCCAAGTTTGACAAGTGAACACACAAGCTTGACAGCGTTGCACTCAAGAATGCCAGCGTGTTACACAGGTTTACACCTTCTCAGATGTTACATCCAAGTTGGCCAGAGTGACATTCAAGTTTGATACCATGCTGGAATGTTGCATCCAAGTTTGCCAGAGTGACATTCAAGTTTGATACCATGCTGGAATGTTGCATCCAAGTTTGCCAGAGTGACATTCAAGTTTGACACTATCAAAAGCAAGCTTGACACGGTCAAAAATGTTTTATTCAACTTTGACACTATACGCTCAACTTTAGCAATATACGCTCGACTTTGACAATATACGCTCGACTTTGACAATATACGCTCGACTTTGACAATACACGCTCGACTTTGACAATACACGCTCAAGTTCGACAATATACGCTCAAGTTTGACTGATATGAATGAGCGTGCATAATGCTCATTTGCGAGCCGACAAGGGTACTTCAATCGTCGAAATTAAATGTGTTTCATTTGTGGTTAACTGTGTCAAAGGATGATCGAAGATTCGAGCCGGGAGATTGTTCAGGTTCGATTCTTCATCATCCCTCCGATGTGGCCCAACGTTAACCCCCGGAGCCACTCATGAATCCTACTCCATGCAAAAACTGTTTACACTGGGAAGTACGTCGAGTAGTCTTTTCACAAATTGTGAAGTACGAATAGTGAATATCGAGATGCAGTGAAAGTGAGCTTTCGTTGGTCGAAATTGGTCTCGTGTCCGACGAATCTGAACTTGCATTCCCGAATTCTTCCACTTGCTGAATTTGAGATTTAAAAGGTGTAGTTGGTCCCGAAGCACTCACTATAGTATAGAGCATGCAGTCATTCGACACATGTTACACACGACTAGGCTGCTGCTACTTCTCACAGTGTGTAAGTCACACGTTATATGGTCGCGAACCGCATGTAAATATTCCGATACGTGCCTGCAGCTGAATGTCTCTCATTGCCAGCGAAACACATTCTTCAGAACGACGCAAGTTCCTGGGCCAATAGAGTAGTGGAAAAGGTGCACAGGTACACGATTTGCCATCGTTACCGACAACTCACTTTACGATTCATCATACAAAAATTCATCATACGTAAATTTACACTCAGCATACCCAGTACCCTTCTTCACGAGGATATTGAGAGGATTGAACGTCACCCAGTAAATTATTCGGATCGAAATCCATGCACAAAGACACACGAACGGTAAATAGGGGTCGTGCTACTTCCCAAGAGTCTTGAGCCGAAAGGGCCTCGGGTTTCCCAGAAGGGCTCATCCTTTAGGTCTCAACGCAAGGACAGATCCAATTCAATTCGCGCTACAGAGTAACAACGAAAAGTTCCAGTTGATTTAGACGGGATGATGTTCTCTAAAAAATCAACATTGAAACTTGATGATATGAAGCAAGGACATGCAATCACCTCGGTAGAGCGTCAGAGAATAACTGAGAGCTCGGAGTGGCCTGCCGGATGCTAGATGCCAGCCAGATGGTATCGGAGAGAGGCCAGCCGCTGACCGTGAGCTCCACAGTAGTAGATCTTCCATGTTCGAGCGTGTTCTCTTCCGGAGAAATGACCATGACATCATCAATACTGTGGATGATATAACCATCACCACCGCGGATAACCGCGAGCGGAGAAACCACTACTTGGCGCTGCGGTTCGACCGCTCTTCGATAATGGAAGCGGCGGAGTCCCCCTTTCAAAGCGGCGGTGAGAGGTCCGTCGAGCCTAGTCGTGGCAGGATGACTAGCCATTGGACTTCGGGTGGCCGTGGCAACCCTGTAGAGAACAAGGATTGATGACGGGATGAGGGGTCTATTTTACCTCGCAACTTCGCGGGTTAGGTCCTCAGATGGACACATCGACGGTCGGGCAGGCAGGCGACTGGATTGTCTCACACAGGTACGTTTCTCTTGCCTGAGCTTAGAAAGCTGTTCTTCAACAGCGACGCCCCATTCCGCAATGGATGTTCGACGCTTCATAGAGAATGAGGCAGAGAGCAATGCTACGGGATGGCGCACTACAGCAGTCCCTTTTGTGACACTTGGTCCTGTCAAGTTGATAATATAAACATTACGGGGACTATTCAGGATAGAAGCTGCATGCAGAATTCAGCTTCTACTACACCTTTTCAATCTCAAATTCAGCAATTGAAAGGACAAATTTTTACGAAAGTAGTTTGATTTTCGACGAGTGAAATGGGTTTTTCACGAAATGAAAGTTCAAATTCGAAATGAAAGTTCGATCTTCGTTGATTGGTTGAAAATGAATGTTCAAATTCGTTAATGAAATTTGTAAACTCGGCAAGGTAAAATTCGTCGAACACAAGGCCAATTTCGACCAATGAAAGCTCACTTTCACCACATGGAAGGAAATTCTCGTCAGCGTCGTGCCACGGATTGTGATTTGCGACTCGCAAATTCTGAGCGCTGATGGTGCTCTACGGACTGCACCGTAATGCTAACAGTACAGTGCAGTTCACAGATTTGCAATGAAGGATTTTCAGGGATTCGAACCGAGAGATTGTTCGGGTTTGGTTCTCCAATGGAGATTCTCCATTATCCTTCCGATGATATCGGAGGGATAATGGGGTCGGCACATGTTCGGTTCGGTTCTCGAACTGCCGAACCGGACTATCCGAACCGAACTTTGATGGTCTTGTGCTCGACAAATTTGAACTTGCGTTTCCGAATTAATAAATTTCATTTCCAGATTTGAAATTTCACTTTCAAGCGGTCTACGAAAATCGAGCTTTCATTTCGAATTTGAACTTTCATTTCGTGAAAAACTCCTTTCACTCGTCGAAGACCGAATTCCATCTATCTAAATTGTTCTTTCACTTGTTGGATCTGAGATTGAAAAGGTGTAGACAGTGCGGTAGATCTTATGCATAGTATCGAGTAATATAGCTGTGTGAGTCGCCATGAGGGTAGTATACCGTACTTAATCTAAGATATTATATCTCCATTTGGCAACTCCCAGCATTCAAGGTAATATGAAACTCGGTTCTATAATTTGCTATCGTATGATCATCATACGATAGCAAATTATAGAACCGAGTCATCATCATACTATGATGCATAACCCAGAGATGTACCATGTACCGAATTTACAAACGTATGTAAAAAATTGCGATATTGGATACCGATCATTGATAGCAATTCAATGAATAAACGACACCGTGGGCTGTTCATGGTCCCCAACTGCAGAATCGACCAGATTGAGAGATTGCGGTGTCGGCACCCACCCGGCAAATGCTCAGTCGGGTGATGCCGTCCGGGGAACTACACAAAGAACAGCATCGCTGAACAGTTTACGTAGCTTGGGTCCATAACTCCTATCCATCTGACAGGTGTGGCACCCACGTCGGGGTACCGGAATGAAAGAAAACAGACGACTGAGTACCCACACTTGAGAATAGACAGAACGACCTCATCCCACGTACGGCTAAACGCCGATAAGATGACACCTCCCTACTCACCTGTCTATGCAATTACTTGTCGTTCTCCTCGTGGACGTGTGCTGCCACAGATCTACCCATAGCTTTGAGAAACAACGAAGAAATGTATTTGCTGCAATCCCATTGTATCCCCTCCTTCCTCAAGGATGACGCCTACCCTCCCCTAATGTGATTTGGAAACCGTTTTCAGAAACGAGGAGAGAAAAAGCAGGACAGAAATGACGTCGCCAAGATCTCAAATCCCCTACATAGCGCTTGAGAACAAACCGTTCACAAAAACGACAACATCGGTAAAAAAGATCAGAGGAAATTCCGGATTTATCGAAGTTTATCCGTACGAACTTAAAATGGGAACTTCTCGAGTACTGCCGTTAGGAGTGGCGGGTCCAGCACCCACACTTAGTGTGCTGTTCTCCTCAGGTAACCTTCAAAGGTAACTTACACAAGTTATCCAACTCAATCCTCCATCCATGACCATATATGACAGGTGGAGCACCCAGTCTAGTGCCGCATCCGTACATGAAAAGAGTGACAGAGTCAACGTCAAAGCAACTCAAACACATCCATAATGAATAAGACTTACCCGTTTATCAACAGGGCATTATCATCCAGAAGCTGCCGTATGTCGGATCTGAAGCTACTATAAAGAAAGGGAAAGAAGACTCCTTACAGGCAAGATGAAATCTATGGAAAGATTGGGTTGTTCTATGTGTGCTCATCAATCAGCCATGTTCAATTATGTTACTCCGGGTGGATTGGGTGCGCAGTGACAAAAGAATGTAAGCGGATGACGACGATGATGATGATGATGACGGTTCTTCGTCGAGTATGAAGTGATGAATAGCGGGTATCGCCATTGTTGAGCTGGATGTACTCTGAGGAATGTTTTTGTAGCAGTATCATCAGAGGCCTTAGCCAAACTGGCTTCGGGAAGACCCTTGCCTCTCTCGTAGTGTAGTCGAGTAGTGCTCTCGGGATGTTCTAAACGCTTCTGTGACATCGTCTTTCCATACTCGGATATCATCTTCTTCAATGGTTGCTCGTGTCGTTCTTGTGCAAGAAGAAAAAGACTATCTCATATAGCGCAGAATAAAACAGGAAAACGTTGACGTGTCCAGCAGCTTCGCAAAGAGTCTTGTGTCTGAATGAACGGATGGAAAGCATCAGCGTTGGGAAAACCTTAGAAAACTGAGGAAACGACCAGTACCAGACCAGTCCGAGCATCTACGCAAGTCTGCTGAGTTTGTGATCTACACTCAGTGGCCTACTAGAGACTAGTTAGCGATGGTTATCGAGTAACTTCTCACTATCATACTCTTCAGGCAGAGGCATGCAGTTAAAGTAGCAGCAATGACAGGTGAGGCACCCACGAAGGATACCGGAATGAAAGAGAAACAAAAAGACGTGAATGTCCATTCATCATAATGAAGCCAACTTACGTGTAGAAGTCCAAAGTCACTCCTCTTCTGTGTGCTTGTGAAACACTAGTAGATGCAAATACAACCAGGAGAATGTAACAGTGAGTAATATTCAAATGAATGCCACATAACCATACCCATCAATATTTCCAATGAACATCAAGATGGAAACATGAAGATTTCCAATACAGGTCGGTACGATCTCAAGGAATTGTACACCGATAAAAGCTCGACCCTCATCCGCAAGGATACCTGTAGCCTCGTGAAGTTCACCATACCGATTCGATGAGCCTTTGTTGTCAGTCTAGACTAACATAAAAAGAAGACCAAAGGGTTCCGTAAAGTCAATAATAGAAGTCAATGACGGAGGTATCCGAACTTGGAGTTCGCTGAAGACCGCCTGATTTGATAGAAGGGACAATTTGGCCAAAGCAACGACTTGAGTGGAGAAATCTTCTGTTAAGCTCTGGGAGAATCTCCGAATGAGCCATAATCGGGGTGTTCACAAACAATCTCGATGGAAACCTGATGCGAGTTCACCCGAGGTTGAGAGCAGCTACCGAGGCTTCCATAACGGTCCATAGGGGAAATGCATCCATGAGGGGAAGACAGTAGAGTACCGGGAGAGTGCCTGATGCAATGGGCGCCACACACAAAGTAGTGGAGATACATGGAATCTCCTTGGAGTAGAATGGAATGACATGTTTCAAAGGGAACAGCTCGAGGAAACACTAGACATTATATAGGAGAGTGAGAACTCGACTCGAAGCCGCACGCGAGCATGGTATCCACGATGAAACTATTAAGGGAAAGGTTACGGATCAGGCGATTGTAAGTATGTAATCAGACCCCTCGAACAACCATTCATGAGTGACGCCCCTCTGGAATGGACTCAATGGCACCCCTAAGGCGTTCAACAGGGTCGGCACGTAATCGCTGAGAGTAGAGGGTGGTAGCCGCCGGGCGAACTATCACTTACACATTATCAATCCATCTCTCGATGAGTCCGGGATGTTTGATCAGCTTACCCGGACTACAGAAGATCGCCGGAGTGTCTGTGTTAGCCGTATCCCATTGCCCATGAGTGTTTCGGTATCTGATATGGGAAACACTCCACCAGGTAGCAAGGCAAGACATACCCCCCATGATCGGATGTGATGAGGATGAGGGTCTCGTCTTCTATTCCTGCTTGGCCGAGAGCCTCCAAGATCTTGAATACGTATCCATCAACATTCTTCAGTGCAGCATAATACCTGAATTCAGATCTGATCAATCGGACCTTACGAGAGAATCGCTAGTCTGTGACTGCCAACGATGGACTTACTGCGGAGATCCCCAGTAAGAGGAATGACCAGCTCCGTCCACCTGAAAATGAGAATGTATAGCAATAATGGGGTCATGTAAAGCGCGAGACCTGGTCAAGATGCAGGAAAGTTATGTGAGGTGCATCTCCGGAGACAATCAGATCAAACAGGAACCTCACAGGACCTCCATCATGTCCTTTGCCTGAATGCAACCATACAGGAGCGACAAAACATACTCAACTCGCCATCAAAGTCATGATCGACATCGCAACCAGACATTTGCTCTAAAAAAGGAAGCCTTTCGTTTGGGGAGCAGCAAGCAAGTGAGACTCACTTAACCATGACCAGGCATAAGCCGAGGCCGTAAATATCTCTCTTGAGAAGCCTTTAGCCAGATGGAATATGGTCGGCGGCAATTTACCTAACAACAAGATTCCATCAGAAGGTGTGTCATGAGTGATATTGTGGGTCACCTACCAGCACCGCTCACAGGTGCAACCCTTCCATCGACCAAGCTGTTCGGAGTTAAGTCAGCGACGGTCCAGCTATTGCTCACGATTCCCGTCCCAGATGGTGGCATACCTGGAGAAGAGGGAGAGCCACCGGAGCCATAACGGACCATTTACCAGTTAAAATGGTTGACCAGTTTGGTGCGCTGACTGTTGGGTTCTTGTTTCTTGCTGAGAATGTATAGGCACATTCTTCAGAGTCTATCAAAGACCTGAATGAATTCGCTGAGCAAATCAATAGGGCGCGATCGCGATTAGCGACTAGAGTGAGTGATATGGGCAAAGAGGAGGCGACAACACGACGAAGGGGGCGGTAGACAAAACCTCGCCCTCAAAGCGGCACAGAAAGCATAGAGATAACACGATTCCCTTGTGGTGCCCCCGCACTGAGGAGTACCCATCCAAGGGTCAGAGAGGGCTGACACCTCACATAACTTGGATAAGGAGATGTAGTATAGTGAGGGGCGGATGACGTTAATAGCGAATACGTTAGCTACAGATTGACTTAGAATCGGCACGCACGAACATCACATGCGGGAGACTGCGCCGATGATAGAGATTAACCTTTCTGATGATCTACAACCTCTCTAAGTGATACGCATTATCGTCCAAGTGCAAACCACCTAGCAGGGCTACAGACCGTGATAGACTTCGGTTAGTGAACTTTATACCAGCACAATCAAAGGATCGGGACTGGCTTTCAGAGAGATAACCACCACTTTCAAGGCCCTCGAAAGTGACAGTCACCATTGCATATACCTTTGAAGGATATTTAACAGTGACCGTGAACAAGTAATAACCCTATACATCGGAGGACCAGCGGACGAATACAAGTCCCTACTCGACAAGAAAAGCGTCGCCACGCACGGTCAATGAGTCATCAATGAGGACTGATAGTCCCACCTCAGAGTCGGAGCATGATCCTTGGTGATGTTACTCAAGTATACTCCACCAAGCCCATCTATACCAATGATGACGACACGTTTGACAAGTCCATGAGGCCACACACCACCAGCAACACCGAGGAAAAGAACAGCATTGAGGAGAACCTCCAACATCGCCGATAACTTCATTAGCGAATGCACAAGCTACTGAAACGTAGCATCCCCAGTTGTCGACATCACTTACCATTCATGGTTGACATGTTGCGTCGTTCATCACATGGGTGCGGTCAACGCCGCCTTGATACGGCGTAATCGCTCAACACTGGAAGGTAACGAGTCAGCACAAGTTTAGTACCGATGCGCAGGGGTGCATTGAATCAATTGCTACGATTGGCGACACGGTGGATAAATGCACGAGCGTACGGTGCCGCCAGCACTGGCTCTATAACTCAGGAGGCCTTCCTTAAGGAAGGAGCGTAAGATCCTTAAGGAAGGGGCGCCTCCTTATAACTCAGGAAGCAAAGGAGCGTTAGGATTTCTTGAAGTGAGAAGGCTAAGGATCTTACGTTTCACCGCGGCGGAATCCAAGCTGCACTTGATTTTCACCTAGCATGAAACGTCCTCCAGCGTTTCGCTTTGAGCCGTCAATAAACAGTGGGAAGCACTCAGCTTATGCCAGGCTTACGAGGCCGAAACAAAGAGATTTGGCGACCAGAGATCGATCCTGCGAACTTTCGATTGCTAGCATGACATGTTAACCACGACACCATATTTACCAAATGCATAACTGCGCCTCCGAGGGATCGATCCTGCGGCCTTCCGACTGTTAATACTAGCTAGTAATATTAAAATATGGTATTATCAGTATTTATAGATATATTTAATATATTAGTTTAGGTTATTTATATATCATTTAATGATGAAAAATCGATATGATTATATTAACTTATTAGATTAACAGATATCCATTTATAATAACAAGATATTAGATTAAAAGGGTAAACTCAGATTTTCAAGGGAAACCGGGATGGTCAAGGCAATTTGTCGCTCGCCCGGCGCCGTTCATTTTTGTAAATAGTTAAGGCGCCGCCGAAAACAGACGGTGCCCCTAGACTTGGTGTTCTATACCTTTCAGAAATCTATTTGGCGAGTGAGGCTACCAACTTAGCGAATAAGGCAATCACATTCGCGGATAGGGACATCAATTTAGCGATGGGGTTCGAATAGAGGAATCTATTTCATGATTAAGGAACGCAATTTCACGAACAAGGACATCAACTTCGGACAAGAGTTTCGATGACGATTTCCGCTGTGCAGCGCCACGAGACATTCCTGAAAAGTAGCGCGTAAGCTACACCTTAAGGAGCAGTTCCTAAGTTATAGGCTCAGTGGCTTTGAGGTTTCCGTTTTGACCGATCATAGTAACTACAACGTGGTACTCATATCTCCATTCGTGAGTTCTTTGGAAGGGACTCCTGCGTAGAAGGTTATCTCGGAGTACTTGTTGACAATCTGTTGTCTCGCAGTGACTCTTGCTTCCAGGCTGGATGGTCCATTCTTATCCACAGAAGCAGTGGCATTCGCAAATCCCTTGCTGTTGACCATGCCAAAAGAAGGCATGTGGACCGAAGTATCCAAGGCCACTTCGAACTGCAAGTTGCAGTGTGCAACCACTTCGTGATGTCGGGACTCGTACCACCCAAAGAACAAAATATCGGAACGGTGAGTGATAGGCGGACCTTCATACCCAGAGGTAACTTGAAGCGGAGAAAACTAGGACCAGCCGCCCAGACGCTAACATCGATGGGATGTGAGTTATTCAAGAGAACTCCAATTTCTGGAGTGCAATTCCGATATGGGAGATGAAAGTTTGAGCGAATCATCGCACCAGCATTTGGTCTTGAATTTATCTTCCAAAATCTACCAACAGTAGGGCTTATTGCTCAAATTTCTATCCGGAGGTGAGCATTTGGGGGGGACTCTCAGATATAACAGGTAGATGTAGTGAAAGTAGCTGGGGGTCTTCATGTGGAATGCCGAGACGATCCTTCCTTCTCGAGTTTTTCGGGGTAGATCGAAGGGACGAGAGATGACTGCGATGCTGATCATGATTCGTGACTGCTGTTCGCCGTTGTGGAACATGATTTCGTTATACGAGGCGAGAGTTAACGTGAACTGTTCACAGTGAACATGATCCTCGAATGCTAGACTAGCCATCGGTTGATGTTCGTGAACCTCAGGTTTACACGAAGTAAATTCGATTCTGCATGAGGCATCGCGGGTGCTGAACAAACACACCGGGAGCCTCGGGTATCGAACTGAGCTGTCGGCTTTTCCGGGAGGACCGGAGTCCGGTCCAGTCAACGGACCGGTCCTCACTTTCTCAAGGTTCGAAAAATTCTAGTGAGCTCAGCTCACTGAGCTGCCTACTAGAACCAGCAATTCCGGGATGAGGTTGTTCGACTGTGCGTGGACTTTTTGACGGGACCTATCAATTCCGTGTCTGGGTCCCGAAAAACGTGCCAGTCGCTTCAAGCTTTTCTTCGTCCTGGCTGGCAGCCACTAGCTGTTCATGAAGCTGATCTGGTAACTTTAGGAGGCGCGAGAAATACTCAATCGCGCTCTAAGAATTAACAACGTAAGATAGACGCGAGCAGCATAATCATACGTGTTTCAGAGACAGCCAGGCAGGAGCGTCACGTCACCATTGGTGTCTCACCACTAGCGTCACGTAATTGCGTGTGCTTTGGTGGAGCCTGTCTCCGTGAACGGTTAACGGTGAACCTTGTTGTAGGGATAGTAGGAAGGAGCAGTTGTGTTCGGACCGAAAACTGGGGGACGAGTAAATAATGTGACACAAGGGTGACCCTTGTGTCACATTATTTGATTATTGAAGGGTCTAGCCACTGGCGCAAAACTATCTCCAGCAAAGCGCGCCGCATTTCTATCTGATCAAATCCCATTAGTACGGACTACGGTAATATACTTATCAACTATTCGTATCTGTCAGAACTGCTAGAAACAATCGGGAATGTGCGACACATCATCCGTCCCCTAGAGAAATTGACGACGAAGCTGTATGGAAGCACTGAGGCTCGCTGTCGGGCGTTGAGTGAAGGGGCCGATGATTTTAAACATGGTAGTCCAGGCCACCCACGCACCCTACGCCTCATGATTGGCACATGCCTACTCAGACGCGGTATTTACGGCGTGAATTTCACGCAACGTTGCAAGGGCTGTACCTGCGTGCAAAGAGGGGAACGGACTCTGGAGATTTCATAACGAGACACTCCGAGTATCGTTGAATTAATCGAGCCACCGATTCCAATCACCTGGATCATTTGCTGTAGCGCTACCTATCTTTAATGCATGCTCCGTTCCAACTCCTGGTCTGTTTGTTCACCGCTCGGCTGGCTTGGTCCTACCAACCTCCCTCTGTGACCTGGACGAATCTACTCTCCGAGAAGGACGCCACTACTTACGTCAACTCGATGCCGATCGGCAACGGTGGTTTAGCCGCCAGTGTCTTTGTAGACAACAAAGACGAACGGGAGCCGGTCGTGGGAATACTCATATCCGACCAGCGTGCTTGGAATGAAGCCGGAGAGATCATGAAAGTCGGCGAGGTCACATATCACTTCTCGCCTAGCCCTTGGACTTCGGGATCCAAAACTACCTTCAAACAGGTGGGTGCTTTTCCGTAAAGAGCAATTTGGCGCTGTCCTTTGCAAGTTCCCATCACTGCCCGTAGGTGCTCAACTCCAGCATTGGGACTGTATCGATTGATATTGGAAACCCTCCCACACGCATCGTTGCCTACGTCGATGCTAACGACGATGTATTGGCAGTTAATATCAGCTCACCGACAAAGGTTACCATAACAGCCACTGCGAAACTTCTCCGACCATCACCGTCTCGACTGAAGCCACAATTCGACTGCCTCACGTACGATATCAGCGCGGATTTCTATGTACCGCGCCCTAATGGTATCACCGGCGGATGGGGGCACGCCAACAATGGCTCCAACTTTGTAGCGAGTACTCTCAAGCAGTTGAACCTTGAATCAGCATCCAGCAGTTTTGGGGATAGATTGCGTGATACGTCTACTGTTGCTATTTGGAGGTTCTCTGAATCTATGAGTGGGGTATCGGATGGGGTCGTCCGCACAGAGGCGAATGTTAACACCTTGTCTAATCTTATCTCGGTAGTAACGAGAGAAGA